CTGCTTTTGTCGTTGCGTTTTTACTGCATTTACTGTATTTCCGACGGCAAAGAGGGAACGTGGGATGAGCTCTTGGTGTTTAATGTGTGTGTGTGTGAGCAGCGAGGTCAGTCGACAGCAGCCTGACGGATCGTCCCGGCGCAGCGGTCAATATGACGGATGTCTGTGATGGTTGGAAGTCAGCCACTGCCCCCTCGCATCCTCTGCCTGATTACACAGGTAGCGAACCGGACGGGTCACAGGGGACGCGTACGAGGACAGAGTCCTGTTCAGGACACCACCCCAACAACAACGTGCATTTGAATGTGCTGCAAACTGACCAATTATAAAGCGTTCACAGTCGACAGCAACCTCGCACCTCGTCGCTAAAACACAGAAACCACCAAATGCTCGGATCAGATAACCGTCCGCTGGGAGAAGAGGATGGAAACATCGGCGGCAACAAAGCAGCAGCTCACAGGGAACATGACACCCACGCGTGGAAGTCTTTGAGCTGCTGAGGTGGCATTTTAAAAATGGAACACTTGAATGGCATCGTTTGGCTCTTTGTTTTGATGGCGCTGTCTGGACGGGTTTGTGGCGAGGTGGTGTTATGAAAGAGCAGCTGTTGGGGCGGTTTGATGTGACGTTTGGGGGGGGGGGGGGGGGGGCGGGACCCTTGCTGAACAAACATTAAAAAAACCAGCTGCACCTCACTTACCCCCCGCTATTTAAAAAAAAAAAAAAACAGGCCCTCCGGAGAATGCGACCCCCGATCCATCACAAGACGCTCTGCACACCCTCTGACTTCATTTTGTCGGGACAACCCGATCTTCTCGATCAATCCGACAGCTGCTCGGGCCAGCGATTACACCTCTGCAGCAATCGGGACGAAGCACATCAACTAAAGCGGTCGCGACTGGGATTTCCCACAGACTGAGCAGTGAGAGAGGTTCCTTCTCGCTCACCGAGGGGAAGGCGAGAGTCAAGGTGATTAACGAGTATCCCTCAACATCGGCGAGAGCGCTGCTGTGCTAATGCAAGGCATTCTTTGTGGGGACCAGTGCCCGAGGGCTTCTCGGCAATTTAGCAACCGTGCAGGCGGCGTCATGAGAACAGCGTCTTATCAGCGGTCTTGTCAATACTTTTGTTCGCAATAATGAAAACACGCGGGCGAGAAAAAGGCGTTCAAACCAAGGTTGTTAAATCAGACAACAGTTGTCCCAGTAATCGTTCTGCTGTAGTCTGAGTCTATTGACACAGAGAGAAGCAAAATGCAATGAAAACACACCCCCACACAACCCCTCGGGGCACAACAGCAGACCAGGACGTTTACAGGTAAACACAAACACGGCTACAGCACCGCCACCTTTCCTCCCACCCAGCAGAAACAGTAAACTTGCTGAATTGGCCTTCGTGTATTCTGCAGGTCCTGGTATCCTGGAATACATCAATGAAACACACAGGAAACAGGCAGCCAGGGAGGAAAGGCCGGGAAAGCAGCCACGTCTGTTATTAGCCGGCCCTATCTGCCTTTTGCACCTGGAGCGACTTGGAAAAAGAAACTATGGACTAATTCATCAGATACGGTTCTGCTAATAAACTCCACAGTCGGTTCCATATCGTAACATAATGGGAGTGTGTTTCTTGTTCAGAGCTTCTTAAACTGAGCTGCGTGGAAATCCTGCAGGAACAGTGACAGTGAGACCCCCCCCCCCCCACCCCTCACTTCACTCAGTCCACTTGAAACGAGTATTTGTTCAAGAAGTCCTCCGAATCAAGCAGTGGTCTCCTTTCCCCCCCCCATGGGAGCAGAGCAGGAACTCACCGGGTGGAAATGGACTCCCCGCTTCCAAAGCAAAGGATGTGGAATTTTCGGAGCAATGTGAGGAGGGATTTCTTTTTCCCCCCAGTAAAAGGAAACAAAGCACCACACAAACTATACAGAGAGAAATTAGAAACAGCTCAGGCAGCGTTGAGAGTGGGAAAAACCTCACGCCGCGTTACTACCAGTCGCGTGTTAAAAGTGGCACCCGAAAGCGACAAACAAACAAACAGTTGTGAGCGCGCGGAGGAATGAGGACGGGCTGAACAGACCTGTCTGCGCATCGAGATCTGTGCGCATTCCTGCCGGCTTCTCAGATTTCTGTCCGCAGGAGGAACAGCGGCCCAGAAGCCTCTCCGGCGTGGGGAGGGTTGGGGGTTCACTTCCAGGCCGGCTCGCACGAGGGCCACGGACCTTTGACTCCACTTTGGGGAAAAAGGTTGGCTTCGTCTGTGCGATCCGTCGCAGGCCGAGCACGGAGACAGTGTAGCAACAGGCAGGACGTGTCGAGACAACGCCGAGCACGCCGCCGCTGCGTAATAGCGGAGATGTGGCCTGCAGCAACGCATCATCAGAATTCCAGATGTTATTGTGGAAAGTTCTGTTTTTTTTTTATAATAATCTCTCTCGCTCTCTCTCTTGAGATCAGCGTCTGATACCTGCTTGCCTGTGGGCTTTTGGTTTGGGGGGTGGGGGTTGAGAGTTGGAAGCCACGTGATAGAACCCAGGCCCAGAGGGGCAGCTTTACTACGGGACGGACCACCAAATGGACACACAAACTGTCAATCGGGTACATGAAAGGTCCAGACCAGAGTCTTGCTGCTGAACTCCTCGGTGGCGGTCAACAGAATGTCAGACGTAGATAATTACAGCGTCGGGATTAGCGAGCGTTTCTTTCGGGAGGCCAGAATTCCCGGAACTGTGGTAGCCGGGGTGACCGGGAAGGGGGGGGGGGGGGTACTTTCCCCTTGTGTGCGTGCATTTTCTCTGTGACAGCGCGCTGCAAAGGGGTTACATCATCCCCCATTGTCGCCGCCGAGCCCTCTGCTTTCATCCGTCGGGCTGGTGCTCGGCGGACGGTCCGATCCGGACAAAGACGGCGCATTCCGGCAGTTTAGCAAAGCAGGAAACGCGGACCGGTAGTCGCACTTTGTTACGGTCAAACGCCATCAACGCCCGCCGGTTACCAGCGAAAAGACACCGGCGCTATCGTGTCATTTGACTTCTGACGAGCAGTGACTCACACCAGACAGACCCATCAGTCATCTCAAACCCGTCAGAGCTTTTTTTGTTGTTTCATGCCCCAGAAGGATGCGTCAACACCCGTCAACACACGACTCACTTTTGGCGTCGGCCGTAGAATAAACCAGCGTGAAGGAAATGGCCTTGAAAACCACACACACACACCGGTGCAACCAGGTGATCCGGGGCCCCTTTCTGAAGGGTATGTGCGATACGCCCAGGGTTAGGGTTAGGGTTAGGCAATGGATGTGTCCAAAAGATCAGGTCGGGAAAGACATAAAATGACTGATCAAAAACCAACTTCATACGTTACTCAAAACGATTAAAAAAAATAAGTTCACTTTAGACTTGAGAATCAATCACAAGCCGATGGATCGTTATTCTTTACACCATTCATTAAAATTGTTAACTCAAGCATTTCATGATGGCCACTTAGCATAATTGCAGCACACACATTCCAGCGTGGCAAATAATAAAGCAGCACAATGCTCCCCTTGTCTTTTATCTCTGCTCGAGCCGTATTCCCTTCGAGCCGACGCACAAGAGACAAAAGAAACACAAGCTCGGTTTAGCAACAGGAAGCATCCCTCTGTGCACGTTAGAGCGCCTCTCCCACAAATACTGCACAATAACTATTGTTATTGTCAACAAGTATGATGCAAGAAGGGAAAATAGAAACACCGCCGTTAGACGTGGGAAGCACCGGCTTCTTTCTTAAGGTCATGTTGACGTTCAGGTCGGGTTTTTGTTAAGTTCGCATGCTGAGGCCTTTTGGCGAGAGCGGGCTGATCTTTGGACCTGACCTCCCTAAATGAGATGTGTCAAGTCCCAGGCGTTCATGTCTTATCTCAACCTAGAACGGGATTTCAGTCAGCAGCATTGTGGCGTATTAAAACAGGGCTTGATACAAAGCTCCTGCCTTTGCATGAGCTCATTCCCTTAAAAGAAATCCCATCAGAGAAAGCAAGAAGCAGTCCAGTGTGGTTAATAGCTATGATTTAGATAGGACAAAGCAGAGATTATAGACTCACTAGTAAACATTGCAGTGTATGATCAGTCATGCCTAACCGCGCTGCAGGTCAACTAAGCCTATTAGGAATGCTGAAAATCCCTGATCCTCGCCACAAGCTAGACGCCAAAGCTTCCTTTCTTCCACCTGACTCACGGCCAACTTATCCAACTCCAACCAGCCATCGACTCCGTTGGAGGGGGATGTTCCACGGCCCACCTGCACAGTTGTGACCGGGGCTGGTATCTTGAAAACGTGGACTTTGAGTGCCGTTTCCTGCCTGTTACTAATTAAACTAACTTGTGTTTGCCTTCCTGCTCAGCGTGGCCAAGTATCTCCTGTTCTATCATGTAGGCATCTGTATAACCGGCCTATGCTGCAACCAGAATGGAGAAAAACAGAGGCTGCTCTGTGGGTTTGTTCTGCACATTATGCATAAATAAAATCAGCAAATGGAGAGACCGATTGGATCAACACCTGATCATAGCGTCACGGGGGACCACGACCATAGGAGACACCTCTGTTTGTGCATAATGCAACATGGTCTGATTATTATAACCTGCTCGGCCTAATCACAAGCAACAGAAACAAATCAGCGCTACGGGCAGATGTGGCGCAAGGAAATCGGACCCTGACTAAAATACACTGATATTTACAGAAGACCCATCCTGTGTAGGTGACGTGTGATGTCCCACCTGTGCAGCGGTGCAGACGGGGATCAATGCCCTTGACGCGGCGTGCTGTGACCCGGTGATTGTCGGGTAATTTTTTTTTTAAAGGTGCATTACCGGGCCCGGGTTAGTTAAGAGCCCAAAACACCGGCACTGCTCGCGCCCCGGCGGCACGCGGACAGAAGCATCGTCCGCGGACAGATGTTGCGTTTAACGTCGTGCACCTCGCGCCGCCGCCGCCGCCGCCGCGCGCGCGCTCCCTTCCCCGGCTCACCTTTCCTCGTCTCCGCCCCCCGCAGCTCCTGGACGGCGCGCCACGCGAGGGGGGCTTTTTCCTCCTTTTGTTTCAACTCGTTACGACAAACAACCAAAAAAAAAAAAAGGCTCCCCGTGAGGTCCGGGAGCCGCGCGCTTCTTCACCTTCTCGAGGGGAGGAGGACGGGGTGGGGGTGGAGGGGGGAGCGAAACGTGTTCGTTCCGGTTGACGCCGGGAAACGGCCCGGTGTCGTCCTCCGACGGGCAACTTGGAAGTTTGATAGAAAGTTACGGCTTTGCGTGGCTGCGCTATGCAGCTGCCGGAGGGATGAGATCATGCAGGCTGACTCCCCCCCTCTCTCTCTCTCTCTCCCCCTCTCTACCTCGCTCTCTCTCCCTCTCTCTTCCCCTCCAGGCCCCGGAGTCTCGCGAGAAGCCTCGGTGGGCAGAAGCAAACGTTACCGTGGCAACAGCGCTCACCTGTAGCTGGTTGAGCAGGTCACGTGTTTATTATTGTGTCGTTTGTTATGTCGGGGTTTGGTCACATTTGAGTAAAAGTTATTTTAGATCTTTCCGCCGAAATGTGACGTAACGCACGTGAGCTGCAGAGCGAAACCCTTTGATCTGCTATAGCCATTTCTGTTAAAGATGCATATATAATTCAAGTTGAAATAATGGAGGGGCGGAGCTGTCCTAATGCAAGCTTTTTCCTTATCTGATATCAGGCAGAACTGTAAAGAAGCTAAAGAATAGCTTTCTCATTTATATTATTTATATAATTTGCTCCAGTTACTCAATGGGTTATTTGGACCTCAACACATGCAAATAATACATTGTTGAGGGATGCATTTTGTTACATTTGAACTAAGATCACGTGTGAGTTAGTTGTATTATATTATTTTGATGATATGTTACATTACATTACACGTCATTTAGCTGACGCTTTTATCCAAAGCGACTTTCAATAAGTGCATTTCAATTATAAATGATACATTAGAGTTTGGGGAATTTAATTGAGCGATTAATCGCTCACACTTACACAATCTTTGGTTGTATTTTCCTGCAAGCTGCGTGTGTTGGGGAGCAGCTCAGTGTGGAGGAGAGGCCCCTGGCCCTCCTCCAATAATTGCTATTACTAATAGACAACAATACGGGGCTGTAAGGCAAAGACCAATTGGCCTGTGGAACAAATATTAGTAAAATGCCCCTGTGCATCCTGATGTTACAAACATTTAAATGTGGTATGCAAAGACGTTAGAAGAGGTTAAGCTATCTACAACCATCTAAACCAGTGTCAGACGACTGCTTGTTGTACGGGTGTTCCCTGCAGCAACCTGCCAAAGACATTGAGTCTCTGCCTGGCCTGTGTAGCTTGTGGCTATGACATCATCCTCCGATGTGGACGTGAGTGGATGTGCATAAAACCCCACTGCTAAGCTGCAGAGCGTGGAAACAATGCACGCCGTGCTGAGAAAATCTATGCTGGAAATGCTCTTCTAGATGCACGATTCAGGGCATGCCTCCGAGTGTCATTGTGGCGGCAAAGCATTCCTGCTGCTGCGCAGGCTACTGGTGTCAGCAGATCTTACTGGGAAACGTAGAAGAAAGAAGATCTCAACAAATGAGCCGCAGAGAGGATGCACGATGCAAAGGGTTTAAATGTGCAACGAAAGCATGCCTGACGATTACACGCCCCTTCCCACCGTTTGTCGAGCCTCATTATGCCCACGCAGAGCAGTGTCAGACATGGCAACATCTATTTTTGTCAACCTTGCATCAGAGCAACACATCGTCATAGGCGGTGCCTCACTGGTTACACGGGCCGATTAAAGGAAGACACATCAATGAGAGAACATATTGATTCTCAGGGTTTAATCCAGTGCACACATTTCGTGGGTGTGTGTGTGTGTGTGTGTGTGTGTGGTAAATGTTAATTTACAAACGCATGACAGGAGTTGTCTACTTGTATGATCAAATCAGTAGCACCACCTGCTGGCCGGACTTTGGTAAGACAGGGATAAAAAGTACATATCTTCAAGTTTCTTAATTGACAGAATTTCTTCTACATCAAATATATTCCTCCACTACTCTTAAGCACTTAAAAGCCCTCAGATAATATTCCCTTAGTTTTTTTTAGAATACCACCGTCATTTAATAAGGCTTAAAAGTGAGGAGGACAGCATATTTGCTCTGATTGCGAGAGGTGGAGGCCACTCTTAGTTTTTGGTTAATCTTAACAGTCTTTGGATGTCGGGCTCGATGTCAATGGTGGGGAACCTTTTGCTGTATCTTTTAAAGGGTTCTCCCTCCGGCCCAACGAGAAACTTCTCAAAGTTCCACGAGACGTCCGTCCTGCTGACGGGACTCCAAACCAGAAACTTGGGGTCGTCCGCGAGGGAGGTGGGGTCATCGTCGGGATAGGGGAGCTTATCTTTGAGATAGGCAAAGACCGGGTGGGTGCCCGTCCCGTTCACGTCGCACTTCTCAAAGATGGTGAAGGTGGGTTGAAAGCCGCCGCCTGGACGCACGTGTTTCAAGGAATTCAGGATCTCATCATTTTTGCAGTTCTCCTGCAAAACAGTTTGCCCTTTTCTTCATATTGTCCAGTTATTTTGTACACAGTAGCATTGTAAAGACTTAGTTTAAGCATCATATTGGGGATAACAGCGTGGCTAAACTCCTACAGCCGGTTGGACATGGATTTTAAAACAACAACGTCATCATCTGCATTTAAGGTCATCATCTGGCCCAGAGGTTGGAAGGTCAACCCAGACCACGCTGCTCAACTAACCTGATACCCAAACTGGTTACAGGGGAAGCCCAGGACCACCAGCCGATGGGGGTACTTGGTCTGCAGCTGGTTGAGCTCGCTGTAGTCCCGGGGGGTGGTGCCTCAGAGAGAGGCCACATTCTCGATGAGGACCACGCGTCCCCGTAGCACGTTGAAGTCCACCGAGTCCCCCTCCAGCGTGGTGGCTCTCAGGTCGTAGAAGGTCTTGGCGATGAAGGTCATCTCGACTGTCGCTGCGTTCCAGCCGGGATCTCAACCTGCGACTGTGTCCCGCTGCTCGGCCACCTGACCCAGGTGACACCTGACCCACCCGCCTTGCAGGGGTGTAGAATGACTGCAGGAAACTAATCCTCAGCACACAAACATGCCTCTTTAACGGGTTCAGATAGCTGCATTGTAAAACATACAAAAACACAAAGTGGGTTTTTGTGGTTTTACAATGAGGTGCTTTTATTTCATTTCAGATGAGCTGTGAAAGGCGTTTACTTTTTAGTTTTACAGCTATTGTAATTGTTTTAAGTGAGCGAGTGCTACCCTGGGCATGTATTTGACGTCCTCATTGTAAAGATACAATTGTGAATCGGACTGTGTATAATGGCATAAATTTGGCTTTGCTATCTATGACATCGTTTCAGATTTCCTTAAAAAATGTATGTGTCTTTCTCAGCAGCTGATAAAAAATACATGAACCTGTCTGAACTCTCCGTGGACGTCCTAACCTCACTCTCAATCCCAAATATAGTGACTCAGCAAGGCCGATATACCCAATACTTCCGTTTTAAATACGGCAATTTCAATTTATTAACTTAAACATCGCTTGTTTGTTTTTTTGTAACATCCTTGAGCTTCAACCGTTACATTAAGATGATGAATATCTGGGGCGCCAGTAATATAAGCAATCGTAACAATGCTTATCAATGTGACAGACAGTCGGCCAGGCCACGGACATACACACACATACATGCACTGAATACGGCACAAAACGGTCTCCCTTGCGGAAATGCTTGGTTAGAGTTTGCCGTCTCGCTGCAAATTTGATTTCTTAGAAACGCATTCAGATTTTTCCCATCAATCTGAGGCTGTACAGTATATTTGCTCAGGGTAAATCTATCGAGCATGTGCATTGTTCGCTTAGCGAGACCCGTCGAGCAGATGGAAATATCGATCAACGAAAGGCGGAGCAAAGGAACGATGTGTCTGAAGCTAAAGCACGAGGAGCCACATTACGTCCCTCGTCTAACAGGCGCAGGTCTTCTGAGCGTCGCCGCCTTTCTCTTCTTCCAAAGACGCCTTCTCCAGGTAATCATCCAGGGAGCCCAACAAGTCGTCCACGTCGCGCTCGTGAGCCCGCAGCACCAGTTGTGTCATGCGAGTGAACGCCTGAAGGACGAGAAACGCACGAGACAATAAGCAAGAATGCAGCTGGGTTTTTATTTTCCCCCCCCGCAGTGTTTGTTCACGTCTCTCGCGCGGCGGATCGTTTCTCGTGCGTCTCGTGTCTTGCCTCACTGATGTTATCGCTGGTGGAAGCACTGGTCTCAAAGAACTCCATCCCATAGGTTTCGGCCAGCTACAATATCCAGGTGGATACGGTGAGAAATCAGCAAATCAAAAAGGGGAATTTAGGAAGTATGTAAATAAAATAACACGTTCTGTGCATATACATTAATACGTTATTCCTGTAGAGTTATGCAAATAGAACAGACACACACTAAGTTTTATTTATTGTAAATTGTGCAGGGGGACATTAGGATTAATGATGATCTTATTAAAAATGTATTGGTTTTCACAAAAAGTGACAGTGAGTCCCATGTGTGATAAAGTTAATAAGTTTAATAAGGTAAGTTTAAAGGGGCATTTTTAAAATTTTGATTTGATTGTATTGTATTTTGACTTTGCCCCATGGCTCATTTTCACGTTGTACAATGATTATATCTTAGTGAACTACTTGCTAAACTAATAAAACACAACTCAGATTTAGCTGTGCATCCTTTAGAAAGGTCCATTTAATCCTGATAATGTTATCATTGCAACCTACTAACTTCCCGATGGATATTATTCCTCGCGATCCGTCATGACGCGAGTGAAATGCAAAATGAGACCATATGAAACCCACAAGAATACGGTTGAATCACCTTGCTTCCTTGGTCCTTCGATACCTTCCTACTCGTCTCCTCGTCCGACTTGTTCCCCACCAAGATCTTCTGCACCTTGCCCGGCGCGTACTGCAGCAAAACAAAAGACAGGACAGACAAGCGGACGGAATGACCTCACGGTCTCGCAGCTCACGCGGAGCACTCACTTCGTCCACGTCGCCGGCCCACTTCACCAGGTGCTGGAAGGAGGACTCGCTCGTGATGTCGTAGACGAAGATGATGCCCTGGACGGGAAGCCACGAAGAAGCGTTAGGGAACGGCCGCTACGGTGACCTGGGAAGGCCGCTCGGGCGTGGCATCACCTGTGCGCGCCTGTAGTACTGCTTGGTTATGGTCTGATAGCGTTCCTGACCCGCCGTGTCCCTGCACACACACACATCCGCAGAGGGAGATTACACAGCGCGCTGGTCGGGATTATTCTGTGCATGCAGGAGAATTGGACGGAACTTACCATATCTGCACCCGCACCCTGGTTCCATCTAATTCTAGTGTTCTCATTTTGAAATCAACTCCTACGAAAGGGAAAAAAAAACAAAAAAAAAAAGGAGAAAGACGATATTCGAGATTTCATGATGCAAACCGCGACCCCCCCCTCACGAGGTCAAACTGGAATCACTTGACGGAGTAAATAAAAGTCCTCCGCCGGCTCAGACACAATTACCCCTTCTGAAGGACACTGCATGCTGTCAGCTTGTAAATCACCGAGCATCCACAAGGGATGTGACAAGGCCACAGGGCCAAGAAATGTGACGTGTGAGTGTTGCCGACAAGACGCGTACGCGCAGGATACATTAAAAGGAAAGATCCCATACAGTTCATTTACTGCGATTGACTTCGGTTGTTATGTTGAGTCCACACACACACACACAGATAGGATTATTTTTGGTTGCTCGTCCTACATACTTTCTGCAGTTTTGAGATGATCTATCCTGAATGTATAGAAGATATGTGGGTTATTATCTCAGGAATGGAGCAACCAATAATAATGACCAATAACGACAACCATCACGCGTCCAGAAGAGCTTTCACACAACGACAAGTGGGTTTAATCCCACGTTAAAGTCTCTCCACAAACCTTTTAGCCTGAATAGCCTGAAATCGCTCCCCACGGAAGCATTGGCTGACTGTTTTTCCTTGCTGATGCAGAAATGATTTACTCCTTTGTGTGTAACATCATTAGTCTTTTACCCAGTCTGAGCACCAACGTGAGCCATTTTCTGAATAAATAACAGCACATGAAAGACTATTTTTTTCTTCTTATTGTAACTGTGGGGATAAAGATCTTTCTTTCAGAACTCTCTGGCATCCTTCACTTTTGGGGCCTTTTTCAGAGCAGCTTTCTAATCACTTGGGTGTTTATTCACTAAGTTTCAGCGTCGTTGTGGCTCGATAATCCCCACAAGCTGAGCAGGCCTGCTTATACTTTAAACAACAAAAAAAAGAAGGTAAAACTGACGATTGTTCGGAAAGTTCAGCTAAAAAGTCATCAATCAGCTGAGTGACGTTCACCGGGTTCCACCCGCAGCTGGAGGCGCGGGGCGACGGGATGCGCTTGGGCCGCTGGTCGGATGTCTTACCGATGGTGGAAATGTGTGAAGAATCAAAGTAACTCTCCGTGAACCTGCGCAGCATGCACGTCTTCCCGACCCCCGAGTCCCCGAGCATGAGCAGCCTGAACAACACGTCGTACTGCTTAGCCATGACCAGAAGCTGAAGCACAGGCGTGACCCTTCCATGGAGCTCGGGGAGCGCTGTGGCTGCGCGCTGCCTTCACTGACCCTCGGAAAAAGAAAAACCCCGGCTGTGCACTCGGGAGATACGGATGTGGGGATTTTAGATTAGCTCAGAAGTGACATGACGTATAAGCTGGTTGTTTCAGTGGCTTTTTCTAACATTAATATAGATGAGCGTGTTGTTGTTGCATTTGAGTTCATGGGATTGTCAGTTAAAGACTCGCGTTCTGAAACGTGTCCCACGTCCCCAGAAGGCACCACGGAACCTGCCCCCTTGTGTGTGTCAGCTGGGACACATGAACTCGTCCCAAACCTCATAGTTAAACAAAGTGTACACGCAGGGCTTTAACCGGCTATCATAAGTACTGAGGCTCATTCCACATTTCACAGTAAGTGATTTAGAGACATTCAACATCGTGAAAAGTCTCCAGTGGATTTTCACTCGTCACTGGCTTCTATCAGCACCTTGTTAAATATAATGAACGTGTGATTATTTCCTTAACCGGGAAGCAAAGTTCACTCTGACATTTCCCTCCATAAACACATCAAATGTAGCAAAGCTCTCACAGGACGTGATTAAAAACGTGTTGAGTCACAAATACATCCCAAAAGGATAAAATAGTTTATTTATAGTCTCATAATAAAGGTATGCCTTAACTTGCAAGACATCTGTTGGCAGTATGTACAACATACCTGTAATTTCCACGGAATGGAACAAACAAATATTGATTACGTACACGCTAATTTACCTCTGCAAAAAAGGACAGAAAAGAAATAAAGTTGAACGTTCCTGGCACGGGCAAACATTTCAAGCAAAGGCTTTCCTTTGCAGAACTGACACCATTAAAGAGTATACAGCGTTACGTACTACACACGGAAATGGACTTCCATTAACAAAAATAAAAGGTCGCTGCCCTTCACTTGCATTGTGTAACATTCGGTATCCAATAGGGGGTCTTTTATTTTTTTTGTTGCTGTTACTCATTTTTCATCTGATAGTAATAAAAATAGAGGAAAAAATAAATATTTGTACCTGTGGGAACTCCATTAAAACAGCAGGTCAACTTGTTCCTCCTCCTGTGTTCTCTGGAAAATCTCAAGCCAAACATTCTAGAGATCAAACATAACGGGGAGAAATGAATGTCGGTGCGTCACTATAAATAGAGGGGTTCATTTTCAAAGACAAAGGCTTCAGTCACCTACACTGAGTGAGGGGGGGTGTTGCACCGCGCGTTACATCACGAACAAAAGCAACTTCACATTCTGTTCTTTTTGTTTTTTTTGGGAAAAGTAGGAATATTAAAAAGGTAAACTAACCCGTTATCACCACTTCGTCAAAGATCAAAAAGTCTCATAACTCCAGAAGATTGCAGAGGTTGTGAAAAACAACCAAAGGAGAAACACAGACATATGTTTGTTTAATACCTTGTCATCTCCTTTGATATTTGATTATGAAAGGTAGAAAAAAAAAAAAAAAAAAAAAAAAAGTCCTTCAAAAACTGCACAGCTGCCTCATGTTGGGGGTCTTGAGAGTCGTTGGATGGAGTGACGGGATGCTCGCCAGGAGGAAAAAAGGTAGAAGCGTTTTTTTAAATTTCTCTTTTTTTATACATACTAGCATCCCTCTCACGCAGCCTCCACCTCGCCTCGTGGACCGCCGTTAGAAGGCGGGACTTGAGTGCGGACAGGCGAGAGGATTCGGCGGGCCGAGGGGGGGGGGCATAAAGAGTCTGTTTGGAGAGCCGGGGGTTGAGCCGAGTCTAGCTGGGCTCCACGCGCAGCTTCTTCCTGTTGGGCGGCTCGTCCGGCTCCGACTCGGAGCTGGAGTCGGAGCCGCCGTCGAAGGCCGACACGGCGCTGCCTTTGCGGTTCGTGTACAAGCTGCTGTCGGAGGAGGAGTTTGTCTGCAGCTGAGTGTTGCCCTTTGCCTTCTCCAGGGCTCGCACTGCAATTCGCAGAAACAAAGGAGGACGCAGTCGATCTGAATCCAAATGCTGCTCATTGGAAGTGACCCGAGGGTCGTAAATAAAACACGGCGAAAATGACAAGATGAGAAGAAAAAAACAGACAATTCCACCACTTACCTTGCTGCTCCAACACTGCATTTTGCTTCTTTAAGTCATCGATGTCTTGCTGGTGGGTTTGGTTTTTTCGTCTCATGTACTGGATGTACTCGGTGGCTTTGTCTAGAATCTGTGCTCGGGAAGCCTGTTTGACAGAACTCTGTCAGCAAAAATTTCAGAAACCCGTGGGGAAAAGCTGCAGTGTCTGTTTGTTCAGGGAGAACAACATCAATTGTGCAAAAACAGGTATACAAAGATCACAGTGTCATGCACAGATCTTTCAATAAGTTGTTAATTATCTAATAAGGGTTAAATAAACAACAGGATTATTTCGAGAGGTCAGCAACCTTTAGCACAAAATGTTGCATGTTGGTCATCAAACAACATTTCCTGCAGCTCTTAGAATTAACTTGAACGATTTAAAGACTAAGGAAACGGCCTGTGGACACTAGCAGATCTTTCGGTGAGGTCTCAAATTGAACAGCTTTGGCTTTAATGGGTACAAAGTTAAATAATGTAAGATAAGGGGGTTGAATATCATGGACGTATTAAACGAGCTGTGGACTTTGCGTAGTGACCACGTCTGCAGAGACGACAGTTATAAAGTACAGCGGTGCGAGATGAGAAATGCTGCGTTCTCGCTCGCTGCAGCAGAGAAATGCATTCGTCCTTTGAGCTTCGTGCTGCTCACCGTCTTCAGCTGACATACACTGTTTATGTGCATTACATAAGGGACTAAACAAAGCCCCGGAGCAACATTCCGCACAAACGGAAATAAAAGCTAACCGTTTCATCCTGACTGTTTGGCACCTGTATGTTTTTATGCCTCTTCAACATATTTGCTGGAATATGGAATGTAGAAAATGCATATAACTTACGCTCACCTTCTCCCCTTGTAACGCAGGCACAGAGTCTCGTAGGCCGTGGAAGCTGTCTTTAATGTGGTCCCTGCGTTTGCGCTCCAGCGCGTTGTGATGGGCTCGCTTGTCTGCCTACAAAGGGACAGGCGGGAGTTTACGCTTAGAAATGCGTGTCACATACACACAGGACACTTTGCGAATTATAACACATCCAAATGTGAAGGCTGAAGATATGCAAACTCTGCAGCTTTAAATTACAGGTGAGTTGTGATGTCATCTGTTTGCAGAATCTCATCTGAAGGGTGCTTTTAGTTGCTTAAAGGGTGGAGCAGCGTGTCCTGACAGTCTGGGCACTTTGTCCAACAACTTTACGGGAACTCAATAATAACAACAATGCCTAAAAACTGACTAAGCAGGACCGCTAGAGGCCAAAAAAAACAAACTAATGTCAGGCTCAATCGCTTGCAGGAGTTAACTCACCTGACGACAAAATACATGCATACTTGGGTGTATATTTGTATAACGTGTGTCTAACGTTAAAAGAGCTGAATAAGGCAAAACAAATCGGAATGCATCTTCTCATAGTTTGTTATCATACAACTTAATAAATAAATATAGAAACTGCATAAATATAGAACAGGATAAAATGACGATCGTGATTTTGTGTTGACATGTGTTAATAAGAACGGCCCTTATAAGCAGGTTGTAACATTTGAATATTTGCATATTAAGACTTGACTATCCTGTGACATTGAACTGTGGGCTTAGCTTGCATCACATTATTTATGTTTACTGTGGTAAGAGGATCGGAAGCTGGAAGCTTAAACCAAAGGGGGGGAGGGGAATGGCTCTGAGAAATATGGGACCAGATCGATGATCGGAATACATTGTCTGTTAAACAACAGCGGCTGTGTAATTAAATGCTGCGGGTTTGTAAACCACGGGGAATTCCAATTAGCATGTCGAGTATTGATCTTGTATAAGTATGCTTCAAAAGCTGTGCACAGTCTCCCTTTGGTGGAACACTTTTGAATACATTTGGTCCAGAAAGCTGCAGGGAAGTGGGACCTGGACTTGGCATGTCCGTGATGGGCAAAACAAGAACACGTGAACGCGCTCGGCTGGTCCTGTTTTCGCAGCCGCGTCGGGGCTTGCTGCGCGTGTATTCGTGTAAATACGGTGACGTCGCTTTAAGCGCCCAAGATGGACGTTTTAAAGACTTGCAAAGTTGAAGTTACGCCAACTACGATAAATCCTCACATTGGAAGAGAGGGGATAATGAAGCATATGAATCTATTAAATGTCACCTTTAATGCAACAACTGACAACGTCCATCTGAGCAGCAATCCACGTTAACCAAACTGTTTTCATCATAACTCAAAACTCAAGTGAACTGTCTCAGGATTACAAAACCCATTTAAATTGGAAGGATGAATTCAACGACGTATTTAAAATAAGTACCGCAGAATGTATCGCACTTGAAAGTGTTGTTTTGTATGTTATGTGTAACCTAATCCCGAGCCAGTCGGTCTGACGTAATTGTGACGTCAACGGGTGCTCCCAGCACCTGTACCGTAACGACACAAAAAGCGGCGCGACAAAATCTGATCGATGGTCGGTTCAACTGGGTCGCGCGGAACGACGGCTCACTTGACCCCACTTGACACCAGAAAACGGGGCAACCTACTCCTCAGACCGATGTGTTCGACGCTGATTAAAAGCCCTGCCAGCCAGTTAGCGCTTCAAAAATGTTTCTTTCCCAGATTTGTCTGAAAATCTAGTGTCTAAACCCAACTAGCTTAGCTAGCTAACTCAATCCGATAGCTGAAGGTTGGCAGGAATGTTAAAGTTGCTGTTCGGCTAACAGTTTGGCTAGCTACTTCCAGAGGAAACTAAACCACATACATCGCTGTCGACGTCGATGTCATCGTTTTCGCTCATTCTTCGGTAAAGCGCTACGAGAAAAGAAAACAAGCAGCTGTCAAAACAAAGTGCGTCGACAACTGGAGGCAAATAATAAGAGGTAGCACGGGGGCTTCGCTACAGCCGAGACATGACGAGAAACGGTTTCTCCACACGTGATTCGCCTACACATGGACGGGGAAACATAAACAGCGCAGGCGCAACAACACAAAGCATTGTGGGCAATGCAGTCATTCGCCAACGCGCGCTCTGCCTTTCGCGGGCGACGCCGCCGGGAAGGTGAACTGCATTTCCCACAATGCCGCGGATTTGAACGCGCCCACCTCGCAGTACCGTTATAGCCTACAAGTGGCAGAGTCGGCGGGTGTCGGGATGTTTATTTCTCAAATGGATCACAATGTTCTTTTTCTGCACATGTATGAATAAATATATTAGTAACGGCATCTCATCAGAGTGTAACAGATGCTTCAGTGATGGCCTGAACAACACACAGTCTCGTTTGATAACAGTCTCTCCAAAAATACCCCAACATGAACACAGGACTCTGCAGTAATAAGGGACAGTATGTGCTGTTGTGGTCCAAAGTGTTTGCAGCAATAAACTAGAATATTATCCTGGCAAATAATTATGTGGCCAGATGGTGCACTAGCTCGCCATGGCTGCCCTCCCCCGCTCACCATTCATCACTGCACAACTTGCCTCGATAGGACCTTTAAATAGCTTCTGCAGCAAACATCACTGCTTATACACACCTACTGCAGCTTTACTATCAGGGCATTGATGCATTTCAATAAGACAAAGTTTAACACAATTTAGTCCTTTAAGAAAACTCAATCAACACCACAATGTTTGCTATTACAATGAATATTTAGATAACAGAGGGTATATCTACAACATATCAGCACACCTTACTTACTCTCTATTGCACTTTTTACAGACTAGAGGTCAGAAAGTTCTCGACAGAAGCAGAAAGCTATAAAAATGTAATTGCTTCGGAGCTTCTGTCTCTACGGCTCGGTCACCGCAACCCAATAACTGGGCCGGTGCGTGGGGCGGAGAGACCATTCAACAGGTTCGACCTGACCTTGACTAGTATATATGCAGCGCTCTGCAGGTAAGGGTGAGAATTCTGAAGTGAATCCGTTCTCCGCAGGGAGCCGGGGGAAGACAACCCGCTACCGTAAAGACTGAACCCCCCGTTTGCTCATTTTCTGTCAGGTTCAATAACAAGTTGTATCATGTTTTGTCGGTGATATCATTCACCCGAGCTCTCCGCGTGTGGGAGTACCAAGATTGTATCATTCAAGCAATTGTTCCTGCAAGATTACATTTGACTTCATCATTTGACTTTTTAAACCCTTTAATTTTTCCCGGATCTCAATCGTGCTTCAGATAGCGAGGCAGCAACGTTTGGGCCTTAAAAACCCACATCAGCTCGGTGAGTTGTAAATGAAAGGTCTTCCCGGACAAAGCGCCCAAGTCCCGCAGTAAAAAGAGGCCCCCTTTTGAAAAGACTAACAACACAGTTAGTCTGCCTGGTTGCGTAATATTAATAGAGGGTTTGTTCACACATGCAAGCAACAACGAGTGAGAACATTTCCTCTTTAGACGCAAACCCTTTGAACATTTTAGAGCCCAAAACTTCCCAGGGAGCCCCGAAAGCGAGGAAATAGGGGAACAACCTCGGTGTGTGGATGACTTCCACCAACCGGCTGAAGAGCAGGATTCGCTGGAATTCTGTCTAAGAAGTACAGATAATAGTATCAGTGGCTGGAGTGGATAACTACTGGAGTTCACACGTACTGGTGTTGCTATGAGCCCATGTGACAGCGAGGGGAGGGTGAATCAGGGGAGGGTGAATGAGGGGGGGGTGAAAAGTAGTTAAGAAACAAGAATGTGAGGAGAGATGGAAACGAGTGTGTGCACGGCGAAGTGGAAGAAGCTGCCCTGAAGTTAAAGTAAGAAAGTGCTTTTCATCCTTCCTCAGCGTTTCTTTTTACACGTTCCGATTGAAAGTGTTTCATTCGTAGGTTTTCGCCGGCAAATTTGACGAAAATGAGAAAAAGAAGAGTAAAAGGCTGAAGTTTTGTCTAGATGCATCATGCTTGTTAATACCTGTGACGTTTCCAGTGTCATAGAACTACTAGAATCTTGGAAAAAGAGCCATAGTGCTGCAATGTGTGATACATTCATTAACACGGCTAAATTGAAAACTTGTGCAGTCACATATCAAAGTGCAATCCGGGAGTTGTTTTAAACCAAACTAAATTTGCCATGTTTTGAAATTAATGAATAGTGCAACAATAATGTCTTTTAGTTTAGAGATAGAGGTATTTGCCTTCACGACATTAAAATGCATTATACAAAACGATTTGAACCAAAAAAGGGCTTCCAGCTGTTTTGGGTTTACAGGCAGCTGAGCGGATGCACAACATCCTTTGATAGATATGTAGGATTACATAAGGTCCCATCACTCTGTCAACACACAATAAGTGGCAGCTTCTTTTCTTCGGAGCTTCATTGGGTGGTGAAGTCGGTAGTCAACTAACTAACAAACAACTCCAACCCATGTTGGTTTCTGACCAAAACATAATGGTTATTAAAATCCAGCAAATTAGCAAAAGCATGCATATGACCACTTTTCATCAATGTGTTTATTTATTAAAATAAGGACTGTAGTTTATTTACATGATCATGTTGGATGCGCCACTAAAAATAGTTTCCCACTGATGCCCAGTTAATGTATGTTTAAGTAACATTCGACAATAACTGGGCGGGTTTTTGAAATCTGTTTGCTGTAGAAACAAATTGGCTTGAAAATGCAAAAGCATACATTAAATTCACTAGTGTCAAATATGTGTTGCCAAAGTATATTGACTTTCAGAGTTATTGCAGCAAGAGTAAGTACCTCCAATTTAGCCGAAGTGTTGATATAAATGTTCAGCGTCGGGTCCGTAGGTTCACTGGCTCGGTGCTAAACTTTACTTTAAGTGTTAAATTGACGCTGTGTAATGAGAGACGGAGGCGTTGGTGGTTTTGATCTTTTCACAGAATTATTTGACAGTAAGACAACAATTAAGTATTTGGCTCTTTACAGGTATAACAGGGATGCTCAAACATTTTGAACATTTTAATCAATTAATCGCACGATGGGCAACTATTGAAAAAAATCTAAAAACAGAATGGCTTGAAGGAACTGTGGTTTTTACTTCAACAAGTTGTTTTGAAGATACTGAAGGGGATTGTAAGATATCACCAAGAAATTCCTCATATGGACAAAATGTCGGAAGAAATTCCTCATTTGGACAAAATGTCCAAATGAGGAATTTCTTCCGACCGGAGAATACAATACAATAGCTTTAAACTTTCTAACCAAATACTGAAATGAAATGCAAGCGCCTGCACACGTTAATAATAAAGTCAATATTTATATACTGCAATTGCTTCGCTGTCGATGTGATTGTGTCCTATTCGCTTTGTGCGACAGGTGAAAGCCGCAGCACGAAGATGAACCTGACTCAAGTCTCCGCGGGGAACGTCTCCGGTAACGGCAGCGTGGGATTCCCGAACGAACTCTCCCCCCTAAACAAAGCCATCAACGTCCTCTCCATCGTCATACTCTTCGTCACCATGATTTCCCTCGGCTGTACCATGGAGATTTACAAAATCAAGGCCCATCTCCTCAAGCCCAAAGGAGTGGGCATCGCGCTGCTGGCTCAGTTCGGCGTCATGCCCCTGACCGCGTTCGCTCTGGCCAAAGCGCTGCGGATGGACCCCGTCAAGGCCGTGGCCGTGCTCATCTGCGGCTGCTGCCCGGGGGGAAACCTCTCAAACATCTTCTCCCTGGCCTTGAAGGGCGACATGAACCTCAGGTAAAAAACTGTGGCACCACGAGCGACGTTCAGATCCCCCCCCCCACTGACGCTTCTTCTCCTCCTCTCTCGCAGCATCGTGATGACCACTTGCTCCAGCATCGCCGCGCTGGTCCTGATGCCCCTGCTGCTCTTCGTCTACTCCCAAGGCTTCAGCGGCCTGGAAAGCGCCGTGCCGTACGTGCGCATCGTCTACGCTCTGGTGCTCACCCTGGCGTCCTGTTCCGTCGGCATCGCCATCAACCACTACAGACCCCGGTACGCGCCGGTGGTCATGAAAGTGAGACTCCTGATACTTGACTCAATAGTTGATGCAGCTGTGTGTGTGTGTGTGTGTGTACACCATTGGAGGAGGTAAACGCGTCGTCCCTTCGTCGACAGGTCGGCCTCACTGTGCTGATAATCTCCAGCATCGCCGCGTTCGTCCTGTCTGGTATCCTCGCCAAAGACTTTATGTGGATGGTCCTCACTCCAGATGTTCTGGCCGTGGGTGCACTGATGCCGCTGATCGGCTTCACGCTGGGATACGTCATGTCCGTCATGTGCAGGCTCAGCCAACAGTAAGCGTGCGCACACTCGCCTTCGTCTGGAGTTGCTTTTACACACAATTCAATTCAATTTCCGGAAGGCCTGAAGAGGTGAAAATAGCATTTTGTGAAGATAATGCAAAAATTGAGCAGAATTCTGTGAATACTTCTGTTTGTGGGTTTAAGCCTCGTGTTCCATTTCATTCTACATTACACTTCTACTCCATTACATTACAGAGAGAAGTGCTTCTCACTCTGATACATTTAGCACAGCTTCTAGTTTCTATATGGACAAAAATGCTGCACTTAAAGAATTAACTACACAATAGTAAACATGTAAAATGGCACCTGCATCAGTAATAGTGGAATAATCATTTTGCAAAGGTAAAACCTGTCTGTTTTATCAAGTACATTTTAGTAATTAACCACTGAATAACTATGTTATTTTACTTACGTAAAGGCTCTGACTTCTTACACTAAAGTTTCCAATTAGATTATTGTATGTTGAAATTATCTTTAGTAATGTCAAGTATTTGTTTTCTCTGGTAGCCTTTAGAACTGGTGCATTCTGGTAGGAAATGCAATAACGCCGTATCAAAACCAACGGCGAGGGACTCTCCTCTTTCCAGATACTGCAGGACCGTCTCCATGGAAACAGGGTGCCAGAACATCCAGCTGTGCGTCGCCATCCTAAAAGTGACCTTTGCCCCCGATGTCATCGGCCCCATGTTCCTCTTCCCCCTGATCTACATTACATTCCAGTGTATGGAGGCGCTCCTCCTGACCCTGTGCTTCAGATGTTACCGGGCCTTCAAGCCGCCGGCCGAGGGTAAAGGTCACAGCTGCCTTTTGTGTTTTTCTAGAGTGGCGCTGGAAAGCTTCACGACGGCTCGCTCCGCAAGTCTAACACGTGGCTTCTTTTGCACAGAGGCCGTTGGCGTCAGATCGGAGGAGTTGATGCAGGCGTGACCGTTTGACAGCGGACGACCCCGGCGCCGCAGAGGGAAACCAGGAAGAGACGCCGAGATCTCCACATCGTCTGCGTGGTCTTCTCCTAGGCCTGTGATACTGGCATAAAGACTGTTTTCTGTTCTTGATCAATTTTATGCAATGATAATGGCAGGTGGCGCCTGCTAGCCAACGACTCAGAATAATGACATTTTGTATTTATATTTATTAAGATCTGCAGCTAATTGGAACGACTGGCACCGTGAGTGTGAATAACTTTTGAGACTTTGAACTCAATGAGACCAAAGGGATGTGAAAAGGGAATATTCAATTCGGACACCTTAAATAATGTTTATTCAAAACGAGCGTATGTTATATACAGACTTACATGTAACTTAAATAATTTTACATATATTAAAAAGAAACATCTTCACAAAAACAAGAAACATGAATCAAATCCTGGGTTAAAAGCAAATTCAACGGGGAGGCAAACAAAGTGAACACTGACTTAATCGGACACCTTCTCATTTTTGTGTAACTATATTTACAGTCACATGACGGGTCTGCAGTAGAACCACAAGTGAAAAGATATATACTTGTTTTTTAATGTTTCCAAGAGTTGTGGAAGCATCAAATAAAACCACAGCTGATCAACAGCTCTCTGGTCACGAGTTAATAAATAAACATCTTAGTTCCCCGTTTTGAACTTAAAACATTACGATTATTTTACATTATTTTCTACAATGTGTAGCAGTCTGAATAAATTAAATAATATTTTCTGGTGTACAAGTGATGTGTCTGACAAAGCCACACATTAAATCACTAAGCAGTGCAGGTTTTTTAACCAGCATTCATTTTTAAAACTCTTCATCTTACACATTATAGAGACCCGTGCATAGAAGTGGGAAGCTAAGGCCATTGAGGACCAGACAATACATGTGAACACTTGAACAAGGTCAAATGTAGCCTCTTAAAATGTTTGCCCTCGATCCGATGAAAAACACAGCAAAAGGGAAAAGCAGCCTCGAACTGTACAATAGCATCTGCAACAATGTGAGTAATGATTAACAATTGAAACAATTATCTGGAAAAAAAAGAAAAAAAATGTTGAAAACAACAAAGTGTGCATGACTTGGGACAAAATGTAGACGACCTGGACTTCATGCAGCTTTGCCAACGTGCCCCTCGAAAAGTAACAGCAACCAAGACACATGCAAATAATACTTTTGCAGGTTTTGCCCATTCAACTGAAACGCTTCAGCCTTGTAAGACCCACTCCTGCAGGCGCTGGCTGTTCTTTCCGTTTTTGACATTTAAAAAAACTTGCGAGCTCCGGACGTTGGACGTACACCATGTTGTGCAGGAATTCCTCTCAAAAACAAGATGCGAAGCATGTATGTAGACGTGAGTCCCCTTCTCGGGCCTCCTTTGGGACGGACCGAGGAACTGATCCGAGGAACCCACAGCGTCACAAAGAGCCTCGTCTGTTTTGACAGCTGTGGAGAACAAGAAGAAGCGTCTCGCTCGCCAGAACGGGGAGTCCGAAGGATTGCTGCATTTTTCAGGCCTCCTTCAGCAACGGCATATCTGTGGAGCACAGACACATTTTCATCACTGCCAAGAGTAGACTTCTAGGTAAGTAAAAATTCATGTTGAAAGAGGGCTTTACCATCAGAGTAGTCCATCTCAGAGTCCAGACACGGGCTGTGTTGGTCACCGCCTGCAGAGGACGAAGGCGCGGCGGCACCTGCATGCTCTAGGACCCGGGCAGAGGATGATGGTGAGGAGGAGGAGGAGGACGATGGCACGGGGTGCACGACGGCCATCTCTGACTGCTGCTGTTTGCGGGACGAAGGCCTGGAGGGGCCGGCCTCGGGCGCTGTGGCACGCTGACCCTCGGACAGCACGATCTGGACGCGGGACTCGCAGGCGAGAGGCGAGGCCGGCGCCCCGCACGCACTCACAGCCTCCTCGTACGAGGGCAGAGACACCTGGACTCCTTCCACCATGATCGACACGGGCTGGCCGGACACCCCGTGATCACGTCTGGGTGTGGATAAAGAAATGAAAAGAATCAAATTGTTACTCTCCTGGCCGTTCAGGAGTGCATGGCATGTTTTGAGCGCCAACTCACCGATGGAGGGACTTGAGCTTCGGCTGTAGAAGTACAAACAGCACCAGCAGCAGCAGGATCAGGGCCACTGAGCTGGCAGTGGATGCCACTATGGACAAAGCCGGCATCCCTAACGGTAAAGTTGGACTGCGGCCTGTGAGACGGGTAACAATTGTCAGTCATCAATGCACAACTTGTTTAATCATCTAGTTGTTCACATGTGTAACCCCCCCCCCCCCCCCCACTCCCGTTTACCTTGCTCCATGAGGCAGCTGACCTTCATTTGGCTGTCCCACTCCCCATACTGACAGGTCAGGTATTTGTAGTCTCCCTTCAGAACGTAGCCTTCCTCGCAGAAATACTCTATCACAGTGCCGTGGGAAAGTCTCTGGCACGGGGCGGGGTGGCAGGTGTAGCCCCCGCTCTGCGGCTGGAATGGAGGCTGGCACACTAGAGGGGAGAGCGTAAAATGCATTTACCTCAACGCTGCGCGATGACAACTACTAGCTCAAATGATGGAGGATCAAAGCACAGTAAAAAATACGCCGCCTTTACCGTCAGTGCGGATACAGCGAGGAGGTTCCGAGGACCAGTGTCCCAGCGTGGAGCAGGTGAGGAAGCTGGGTCCGTCGGGCAGGTAACCGGGGTCACAGCTGTACTCCAGTACTGTTCCCACAGGGAACGAGCTCCTGTTCGTATCCGTCAGATTAGTAGAGCCATGCTGGACGGTAGAGGGCCGTATACACCCTTCACGAAGAGAAAACAGTCCAAAATACAGTTAATGGCTTTTATGGAGACATTTATGGAGACTATGCTACAATCAGGGCCGCGTGTGTCCTGTTATTGCAGAGGCTGGACGTTGATTCTAGACAATGATGCGTCTCTGACCTCTCGTCGAGTGGCTTTTGTTTGACCAGAGTGACGATGAATCTATTCTGAAGGCTTTTAAACGCTGACACACATATAAAGTCGATCTGGGTTACGTGGCGATACCAGGTGTCCAGAGGGGCGGAAATGTAGACAGCGCGGTGAGGAGGTTGGTTTTTTTACCGTCACTGCGTATACAGCGAGGAGGTTCCGAGGTCCAGCGTCCCATTGGGTTGCAGGTGAGGAAGCTGGCTCCGACGGGCAGGTAACCGGGGTCGCAGCTGTACTGCAGCACCGTGCTCACGGGGAACAAGCTCCTGTTGCTGTCGGTCAGGTTAGTTGAGCCATGCTGCACGGTAGAGGGCCTTACGCAACCTTGAAGAACAGACAAGAGTCAAAAGTACAATTAATAGCACATTTATTTAAAAATATTATCAGTCGTGTAAAAACAAGTGATTTCATGCAAAGATTATTTGTGTTGAAGAAGGACAAAACGATGACAGTGCGCATTATATATATATATATATATATTGCACCATGTGTAATAACTCCCACATTTGGGGCATTATTTGGCCGACGGGACCCTCGTATTGACCTTTTCCTACACCCGAGTTTGAGGACTGACCAACCTTGGCTAACACAACTGATCTGCATGGGCCCGTCCCACTGCCCGTCCTGACAGGTCAGGTAGTTGTAGTCCCCACTGAGAACGAAGCGCTCGTCACAGAAGAACTCGATCACGGTGCCGTGGGAAAACATCCGGCAGGGGGACGGGTGGCAGGTGTAGCCCCCGTTTTGGGGTTTGGAGAGGGGTAAGCACGCTGACGGGATAGAAATTCATAAACACATTGAAGGCACACAAAAGAGGTTTCTACTTTTTTTGTTGGCTCTACTGAGTAGTTGTTGACGGAGTAGAAAAGACAGCGGCGGAGCAAATGTCTTACCACCGCTGCGTATGCAGTGAGGAGGATCGGAGGTCCAGCGTCCCGTTGCGCTGCAGGTGAGGATGCTGGGGCCGTCCGGCAGGTAACCGGGGTCACAGCTGTACTGCAGCACTGTGCCTGCGGGGAACGAGCCTCTGTTGTTTTCGGTGAGGTTTACCCAGCTGTTCGGGACCATATACGGCCTCACACATTCTGGGAAATGAAGACCGGAAAAAGGAGAAATGCTGTTAAGCTGCTACAGTTATGAGGAGAATTATTACAGTGAATAGCGCTTGAACGTGGCTGGATACGCGGTACCCAAACGCCGAGTGCTTGAGATATCATGGTGGAAATCTAAGTTGGTTTTAATATATTTAACAACTGCAAAGCTTTAAAAGTAGCTCAAGACATGTTTATAATACCTAACCATAGTAAATGTTTAGTAAACCACACCAAAAAAGAACACATATATGACATTGAATCAGTTAATTATAGGGATGTTTATTGGTGATCTTAATGATGATGATAAACACGGAACACATCTGGAAAGATAATCTGGCATATGTGTAAATCAACGTTTGGGGCAGTTGATTAGGAACAAGCGATACCTCCGGTGATTTGAAAATACACAATACAATACAGACGTAATGCACTGCGTTTTTTTGTCCTGTCTCCTCTCACCTGATCCTTGCCCAGGGGACACTGCAGTCAACATCAGCAGCAGCAAACAGAACCTCTCAGCTGAGCTGTGGGCCCCACAGGCTTTTGATATCGACTCTGTCATTCCATTGCACATCTTCCCCCCGCAGAGTCAATTCAACCTGGTGCGGGAAGAAGATGTTGTAATTAGAACATGGCGTAAATGCATCAGGACGAAAGGGCCAAACACGAAGCTTCGATCACCTGCCGCAGGGAAATAAAACACCAGCGTCACTGGTCTAACGTGAATCTTGTACCGACCTAGCGTTTATTACGGACCGAGGACGATTCATCGGTTAATACCGTGGATCGAGTCAGCGTAGCAACGACTTTAGCTCGTTACACCCCAACATATGAAATATAACATGTGAATGAACGGATCCAGTGGCTACACACCCATTTCCGTTACAACCTGTTAGCTAGAAAAGCTCCGTGTGCTAGCGGGACACAACAAAACCCAATATAGCCCCGTTAATTACACACTCCGTTATAGCGATGATGGTTAGCTGCTTGTTGGAGCTCAGTTACCACCATGTGAATATATGACTCCAACAGAGCACATATTAGATCAGATTATCTGTTAGGATAACGTTAGCTACCTGGGACAATCAATGCTAACCGTTAGCCTTCCTGGTGTGCTACCGCTAGCTGAACGTGAAAAACGGTACCCACCTGAAAAACACTGCCTCGAACCCCCCGGCCTCGCTCTCTCACGCCGCGGGCATGTTACGGACGAGAAATCAGCTACATCGACGACATTTAAAGCCGCTGCCCGACCGGCTGTCGTGTGATTTAACGAGCCGAGCGGTGCCGCTACAGCTAACCCCCTAGCTAAGCTAACGTTAGCTCTCTATCTGCTAGCCCGTTACCAGCTACGCTAGCTGGCTAGCTGCATCGATGCGGGCATCAGCTGACCCGCCTCCACCTCGCCCAGTGGCCATAGTTACAACATCCGGGAGTGTTTGCGTCCATGGTTACCAGAAGTGGCGGACAAACTCAGCAGGTTTTCTGTTTACAAGTGGCTCTATTTAGCGATCCGTTGTTTAATAATAGCGATTAGTTTTCGGTGTTTTTTGTTGTTGTTTACAAACAAAATACATCTCGAGAAGACCACACCATGGAAATTATCAGAGGTAGTTTAGATGACATTTCTCGCCCTGCATCGAGCGATCAAACCAGCAGCCGTGCGTCGAGCTTGGCTTTGCCACACAGTGACAGAATGGGTCGCATTACTCCATTTTCCCTCGTTGTGTTGACCAAAGATGATGCTGATATCGAGGTAATTGACGTTAAGTTAAGTCAATACATTGACATTAATCACACACGTTATTTTTGACTGACGACATTGTTGAATTTTCATCCAGAGCCGCTCTGAAGGAACCACGACCGCCTCATCAGCCAGAGGTCCTGACAAAAGTGAGAATTTTATTCAGAAAAGCTGCACACTTTGTTTTAAGATCCAATTCTTATTAACGTCTGCGTTGTTTAGTTCAGGATCCCGTTAAAGTTGGCGATGAACGGAATGAAGATTCCAGACTACGGAGAGCAATGGATGAAATGAGACGACTCGATGAAATCCTGTCTGCAAAGATCTGCACAGAAAAGCAAGTCAAGCGTCAAAGGAAAGAACTTCAAGCAAAACTTTGGCAGGAGTTCCTGGTAGACACATTTGTTGCATTCACTCCACGTACGCCACCGGTTCACTGCAGCATCACCGTTATTTGTCACTCTGTTAAAGTTGTTTCTTTCTGCAGCAGAATAAACCTGAAGGTCACTCTGAGGGTGCACAAGAAACAATGAACACCAGGTTGTTTTGGGCTCTGGAAGCATCCACCGGTGAGCCATCAGCAATGAAAGGTTTATTCTTCATGCCGTGACTATGCGACCACCTCAATGTGTCCCTGTCTTTTTTTCGTCCTAAAGGGATCGAAGATGAGGACGACTTTGTGCCCTTGTTTGAAACTCAAGTTCCCGACTGTGAGCACATCAGACACGGACAACACAATAAAAACAGCGTTAGTTAGGGAGAATAAAACAAAAAAGAAAACAGCCGCATATGTTGTTGCATATAACATTTCTAGCTCTTCATGTACTCGTTTGTACACTTGATGGCGCCATGACTTTGTGGAACTTTTTTGGATGAAGATAACTCCATTCTGCATTCAATGCATAACATTAATGAACATTTGAAGGGATGAGGTTTTTATGACATTGATAAAAGGATGAAAGAAAAGAACAGCGGCCCGGGAGCAGTGCAGAATTCATAATGTTTCTCTGAACGTTGTGGCCGGTTAGCTGCTCGTCTTCACACCCGCTGTGCAGCCCTGCAGGGCAAAGCGGTAGAATCGCACATCTTTAGCTACAAATATTTTGAAATTTCACTCTTTAATCACGTTGGTCAGAGTTTTGCCTTTCTTTTTTTCTAGTACTTACCTTTTGTAATGTAAAACGCGGCGTGCCTGACAGGTGACAAGAAGTCCGACGGCTGGATGGAGTCTTCTGAAGTACGCGGCGGGGATGCTGGGGGAGAGCAGCTGGAAGGCAGCCTCTGTGGAGCCTCCCCCAGCAGGAAGAAACAGAAAGACTTTGTCAAGAGAAACATTGAGGTTTGTAAGTTGACGTTCTGGCGAATGAACCCAAAGATATTTGTCTCCGGTTTAAAAGAAAGGATATGAATGGATGAACGGTGAGCCCCTTTCTTTTGTTTCAGCTGGTGATTGGCGAAGGGGACCAAGTGGTTTTGACTCGCGGAGAGAAAGAGCATCTGGCCGAGCTGTTGGAAGGAGTAGACGGAGGGGACGAGGACGGTGCCGGAGACGCAGACAGCCAGGTACAGACAACACATGCTGTAGGATGAGTCCGTCTTAATGCGTCCCCCTCATGCCCAACATGTCTTGTGTGGAGCAGCGGGCGGAACCCGTCCCTTCCGCTGCTTCTGCCCAACGCTCTGATCCAACATTTACATTCGTGTGATTTCTTCCTTGATGTTATTTCTTGGAATATGTCACGCTCACATTTTTTCCTTTTCAATGCCGCTATTAAGCACACTCAGTCACTCGGCCAGACTTTGTCCCCCGGTAGAACTGGTCAGACCTCAATGTCTTAATGAACACTTGGAAGCTCCAGAGGCCTTTTGACGCCGTGAAGCAGTTAGCAGTTAGCTGGTTACGAGCCGGGGGGGGCAGGTTCTTTCATATACCCCAAACTCACAGCCACACAGTGCTGATGGAGCTTTGAGGAGAAGAGCATGAGGCCTCTTGTTTTCCTTCGATGGATTCATCTGCGACCCGGCAGACCGACGCACTTCAAAAACAACAAACACCCGTCTCACTCTTTATTTTTTTTTCCAGAGTTGGCTTTAACAGCTCTTTTGGCGGCTGCGAGGCCCGCTTAGACTCCCGCGCGAAGCCTGTTGGGAAAGCCAGTGCGTTCCCTCTCACACTCGGATGTGTTTAGCTTGACCCCCGACCGTTGTGCATCCACGGCGCAGCTCGCCACAGCGTCTGTTATTCATGTCTGGCCGCTCTATTTAAGATGTTTGCCTTGACCTTCAGAACAACGCTGCAGCCATTCGCGGTGGCAGACAACAAACTGAGAGGAGTGCAGATGCTCTGGTTTTTATTTATTGGAAGGAGAAAGACTTCCTGTTATTGCGAGGCCTTCTGTTCACATTGCCTTCAGCACATTATTCATTTCACAGGGACTTTTGCCAGCGAAGCGTCTTCCTTTCCCGAGGACAGCACTCGGGTTTTTGGCAGAACTGGACACGTCCACCACGAGCTGCTGCTCAATGTTCTCCTCACACATTCTTTTGTTCTGTTGCTGACTCACGTCCTAACAAGTTGGGCTTTAAGCGGTAACCCTCGGCGATAAATCAATAAAACGGAGCATTTCGGTGCAGCAGTGGACGTGATGGCTTTCTTTATCAGAGGAAAAGTTTGACGTGGGTAATATACTGACTTGGCTTCTTGTTTTAGTAGTTCAAGATAAAAGTGTGACTACAAAGCACAACGCAAGTGCAATACATGAAAAATATATAATAAGAGTAATAAAATAAAAAAAAAAATCATGCACAATGCACAATAACGGAAATGAAATAAAATATTGTTGCTGTGTTTGCTGTTTTATTCTGCCAGTTTTCTCCTCCCTCCTCACAGCTGTTTCCTTCACGGAGTTGTGATCGTTTTTGGCATCAAAACCTTCCTGGATGAGCTTATCTGACCCCGGGGTCGGGATGAGCTCATCACCAGCAGCCCACCTTGTCCCACCGGACACAAGTAGAGTCTCTCTGGGACAAACGCACCTTTTCCGCATTCGGCTAGAAGAGGGATGAACTCAGAATTGTAACCCTTCCCCGTTCCAGACATCACCATCGTCACAAAGATGCTGAATAGGAAAAAGCGTTCGCGCTCATCGGCCCGCCATTAAGGCCGCCAACAAACGGGGCGGGCTCATAACCCAGTGGGCCATGACCTATTTTGGCAGTGGTTGTCTTCCAGGAGGACGTCTGGGCTGTGTCAGTGCGGACGGGCCAGGGTTACACCCCCGAGCCGTCGGACCTGCAGCAGCTGACTGACATCGACTCCAAAATCCGGCTTCTCCTTCCCGCTGGAGACCTTCTCTCTGCGCGGAGCTCGTATGCAAACCGTAGCATGTGCCAGGTATGTGTGCGACGGAACAGCAACGGCTGCCAACTGCCCCAGACACCATCAAACACTGCACAAAGGCGAGGCCGCTATGCGGTATACAAGCTCAGTGTGGCATCGATGGCAACGGCTCGTAAAATCCTTTGTTAACTGACCCCCGGGGAGTCGATCCCTCCTTCATGAGGGGGGGGGGGGGCATTATGTAAGCTGCTCCAACTTGGAACAGAGTGTTGCCTCACTTTCCATCCACTTTTCCTAGTTTCCATAAGAAGGCCACATAAAGTCTCTTGTGGGTCATTGGCTCCTTTAAACTATACGAGCAATGAATTACTTAGAAATAAATCTTCTTTCATAGCTGATTGCCCATAATCTTGTTTTTAGTAATTAGTAATATCTAGTAAATTCTCCCAGATGTTCTACCTTTAAATGCTGTACGTTGTTTAATCTACACATTAATATGGAGAACTGCCTCAACTATTATACGTGACTGTAGAACCTTTCTTTGCCGTGGTCCCAGGTTCAGGCCTGCGCCTAGACGTGAGCTCAGTTATTTAACTCCTTATCTCACTACATGTTAAATGCCAGATGGCATGTTCATCATTTACATTGTAGTTCAGTGGAAAAATCCTGTTTTCCAAAGTCAATAAAACTTTATAATGCAGTCTCGTGAACCTATGGTGCCGTTTTCCACTACGACTACTGGACCCGGACAAGGAAAAAGTCCCAATGCAGGAATAGCTCACCATCTATGTCACAGCTTCTGGAGTATTTGGGTTGCCGGCCTAATTATTTCCCAATTTCCCATTGCAAATGTTCCCACCTATTCACCCAAATGAAGCTTAACATGTCATATTGAGGTCATTTTTTTTGCTCCAGCTATCTGTTTGGATAATAAGGATTCTTAATATCTGGTTGGGATACAGCCGACAGATTAAATGCCAGATATTCTGATTAATGGTGAGTCAATAATCCTCCCACATGATGCTGAGTTGATTTCAGTAGTAGGAAACTGAGAGGCAGATGTTACTGTGTGTAACCTGCTTTCCTTCCTCCCCCCCTTTCATCATCTCTCCTGGCTGAAAGAGTTTTGGGGTAAGTAAAACTCCCCATCGTCCATCCACCATCTGCTCTCCATTAGTGCTTCCAATGATGTCTCTTAAGATATATTAAGTTACGTTAATAGATAACTCAACATGAGAGGACGCAGCATTTGAAATATTTTCTTGTGTTTGGGTAAAAAGGTAAAAGGTTGGCGTGCGTCGTACTTATAATGATTTAAAAGTCTGCTTCTTCACCCGGCCGTTACCCCGTCTCCCTGGCGTGGTGCGTATTAAAGATGGACTGCACTCACAATAAATCTCTGTCCCAGCCGGTCACCCATTCCACACCGGTGCCCCGTAAATCCTAAAGGTGGCCCTAAAAATAGAAACGCTTTTGTTCCTGCGGTTGGCTTCATTCTCTGACCTCCCGGCTGAAGCTGATTCAGAAACCTTCTCGTTTGCTCGCTCCTTTCAGACCAGTCTCCAAAGCACACAACACGAGATCATCTGTTTTAACGCAGCTGAAACTCTGATCCCCCCCTTGATATTAAATCACGAGTTCGCTGTTGTCTCTTGTTTTCTGGCCGTGTCAGATACGTCACGGCTTACGTGGGAGAGGGACTCATTCACCTCCCCCCCCAGCGACCTCTCCCTCATAAAGGATCAGTCAAGGCTTGAATCTGTGAGCTCAGAACTTGGCGGCGTCCTTCTCCAATACGTCCCGATAGATATTTCACTGATGAAAAACAGCCGGCGCATTCCTGTGCTGTCGCCTTAGCGTCAGCGCCTCTTGGCTAAGTGGCTCATTTGCTTGAGCCTGCGAGAAACGGCCCGACTGCCCCAATCGGGTCCTAACTACGGAGCTAGTGGAGGTAGAGGAAGGCCACCTCTAGGGAAGGAGGAACTTTTTCACTTGGAGATATGTATGCAGAAATGTTTGTAACATCGTTGGGAAACAATGAAGACAAAGAAAACGTTGTACCTCTATTTTTTTACAGTTGTCTTCAACAGACAATTCGCAGTAAAGCACACTGGGACCAGCTATTTCCCGCTTCTCTCCGTCGTTGTCTTTAAGTCGATGTGGCAGGTGCACATGTTACGCTGTGACTGAATGCGAAGGACCAAAAAATCCCTCTCGCGTTGCCATGAACCACAGAGTGAGTGTTTGTAGAAGCGCGGCATCACTCAGCGTACGGCCGCGCGGTGAGTCACGGCCCGAGGTCTTGGCGTGTTTTCTTTGCCTCTGGTTGATACTTCTGGTCAGGCTAGCACAAAAACCCTCTTCTGATCTGACTTCAATAGATCGACCCCGTTGGTATTGTGCTCGTGACAGCGTTGCTGCTCAAGCCTTCTTCGCTTTCTCCCGTTTTCTCAGGCTTTCAGCCAAAATAGGCCTTCCGTCATTGAAGCCATCTGTTGGCACGGAGGCTTAACGCGCAGCACACCCCTCCTACTGTACCGCTGTGCGGTAATGCCTGCACCACCCACAGTCTGAAGCCAGGAGACGGGGATTCTGTCATGAGACCTAGCTGTGTTGGGTGTTTGGTGACGTGTGTGTGTGTGTGTGTCAGAATTACAGAGGCTATTCTCTTAAATGTGGTTACAATGAAAACGAGTGAATGGCATTATACGACATGCTATTCCGTCACCGTCCCAGAGCATTTGATTGCATCGGTTCAACTCCCTCTACGTTTGCGTGGTAACTGTGTTTTTGTTGTGCATTGGTTGTCTATATTTGAAAGTAGGACGACGGGGTCACTTAGTCACATTGTGTGGTTGCTGATGAGCAGCAAATGTTAAGTGAGGGAGCAGAGGTTTTGGACCGAAAACGCCCTTTTTGACCGACACAATGTGGTCAGATAGTTTGCAAATTTATCTTATTTGGTCCGGGCCGTGTAATTAAACAGCTGTGGGAACGCTTTGGTCACGTTGTATTCATGTAAATGTGGGCTAGTTCTTATTTTATATCATCAAGTGTAAGCTGTGCTGGGATACAGGAAAGTCAGCATAAATGCTGACCTTAACACAACCATGATGGCAGAGGTATAAATAGTCAATTGTCATGATCAGAACCATCTTTGCAGCGTTTGCAGCTGCATTAAGGTAACGGTTAATTAAATGACAGGTTTGTCATCTTGCTGTTCTTCATGAGTTTAACTCCACACCCTTATATATATATATATATATGGGTATATAGACCCACTTTATGGTTTTCTTATTCTTAGCGCCCCTCCAGTAGGTGTTACCCACAGAGGCGGTTGTTCCTAAATGGTTGAGTTGGTTACTTTCGACTCTTCCACTTATTCATATTCTCCCTGGTGGATTAGTCAGTCACAAAATCATCTGCTAACAATAAATTATTCTCAAAAGATTTCCCCATTTCCCCTCACTTAAGGCATTTAAAAACACTATTGCAACACACTGTTCTCTGTTTTTGAAGGAATAGACATTTTGGGACACTTGGGATGATAAGACCGATACCACTCTGATGTCTCTACGGTAAACATGAAGCCAGCGATCCGTTAGCTTAGCACAAAGACTGGAGACAGAGGGGAACAGCTAGCATGGCCTGGTAACCAATCGGCTTCAAAGCGTCTGTGTGTTTGGCCGAAACATGGGGAGACGTTTTTAAAGTGGATTTAAAGATGCAATTAGCTTACAGCTAACAAATGGACAGTAGCCCGCACATTGTTTGGGGCAAATCGATGGGGGCGGAACGAACTGCAAGTCAGTGCGACCCCCAGTGGACTTTTTAGGAATAGCAGCTACTTTTATAGAAATTAAATTGATGTCTTTCTGTCATTTTCACACTGAGCAAGTCATCCGACGGGCCGCACTGGACCCCCCCACCCCCGGCGGGCCGGATCCAGTAAACTACATAATGAGTTCCATAACTCCATGCAGTGTCAATCGGGGGCACGAGAGCTGCAGAAAGACGTTTTACCCTGCAGATGGTATTTTACACCATTGGCTTTGTAATCACTTTGAATTTATTTTGTCTGTAATTATTTGGCACTTTAAATCACCACATATTGGCAACTTGAGGCTGGAGGTCTCGGCAAAAGCCATAGACAGATTTTCTTTCATAACCCGCGTAGTGAAAACTTCAAACAGATCAAACATTTGGCGACCTCGGTTTCTTCTTTGGATCCGTCTACGATACTGAGAACACACCGGTAGGGTGGATATTTTATCCCTGAATCACATTTCACAACAGGCTTTTGGGATTTTAGAACGCACCAACCAGGAGGTTTTGATCTGTGAAAAAGTGATGGCTGCAGACCACCCTTAGTTTTGGGAGAAAAAGCAAGTGTACCGTCCAGATGACCCACATGTGAATCTTCTAACACGTCAGGAATGTGCAGCCATCACCAAGCCATCCAGCACAGATCCATAACACTGACATCTGAAAAGATGATCTCTGGAGCAGGAAAACATGACTCAGACAAACAAATTCCATATCTGGGACGTTTTCTGGACGAGGAACAAACCCTCACGTTGTCTCTTATGAAGCGGCATTACATTGATTGGATTGGCGCTGCTTCACATTAGCATTTAGCAAAGAGTTAGACCTCGTGACAGGGGAGGGTGAAGGATCGACTTGCACTGCCCTGCTCATGTCGCCACGCAGGTACAGGTGCATGACACGCATGGCAGGCATCGGTGCTGCGGCGCCTGCCTCGGATCTCTGCAGATGACTGCGGGTCGCGGCTCGGCCAGATATCAGAGAGGGAAACAACGGAAAGTTCAGACAAGTGAAGAGACTCTCAGCCGTTGCTTCCGAACAGCTTACCCGTGAGCTCTCGCAGGGAGTGCTCGCGGCAAAGGCATGCAGACAGGCCTTGGCGGGTGTCCCGCGTCCACGTGGCGCAGCCGGAGCCGCCGAGAGGCCAGAGGGAGAGAGGAGGAGAGAAGCGCGCTGTTGTGAACAACGCGGACGTCTTCTCGGCGAGTCGGTATACGGCTGCTTGGTCGTCCCTTTGCAGCGCGCGGACAAGGCTGCTCGAGGAGGAGCGCTCTCCCTCGCGTATGTTCTCCAGTCAATACAAATCGGTCCCTCATTGTTCATGCATCATGTCTGCAGATGCACGGCAGACACCCAGAAGTCTCTATTTTCCTTCCTGTGACAGATTATCCGCGCGTCTCTGGTTTGCACGCAGAACTTTGTTTAGAACACAACACGTTGTCCTAATGAGTTTGTTTGAATGTAGTAGCACTGGTTATTTTACTGCTGACACTTCCTTGGATTAGGTGCATTAGAGCACGCCGCCCATATTTAGCTCATTTTCAGTGTGCGAACGAGTTCATTAAACTCTCTCAGTGGTTCTTGTTCACCTAAATACAAGAACCACTGCATGGGTTTAAAGTGTAATGTAAGTCGCTTTGGATAAAAGCGTCTGCTAAATGACCTGTAATGTAATGTAATGTAATGTAAATACCAAATATAAGAAGGGAGCTGAGGCAAACAGGTCTGGCTCAGCTGCTGGTTTATATAAACACACATAGCAGCAGGACACGTGTACATTAAGTTGACCTATAATTATTTGTCCTGTTGTCTTGATGCATCTGAGAACACGTCTGCATGAGAGGATCCAGCTGTTATATTTGGCAAATGGCACCACAGATGAAATCCAGATTGGAGAAAGAAAGAAGCTCCAGGCAACAGCACAACCCACTATTTAACTAAACTAATTTAATCGACGAGGTATATAAATGCTCCATTAAAGGGAACTTCAAGCTACAGCTGACTGCCTGTTACTGAGTGTCATCCAAGATTCATTTGGAATTACAAACACAAAATAATCCCCGCAATTCACCTTATTTCATCCCTTTCACACCATGACAACCAGGGAATGGAATGCACCGCCTCGAATTGCAATCAGTAAATTGATCGCTCGATGAATGTAAGTTATCAAGTTATCTCACACAAGTGATGTACTACTGATGGTTTTGCTCACAGAAATTGGCAAATGATTATTTTTTTTTCATACAATGGGAAAGCAAAAGGAAAGCAGAGGTAGAGGGAGGAGAAGGTGAAAGGTGACGTGCACTCGGCGGAAACATCTCGCTTTGTTTATGCAAAGAGACTGTGGACTCTCCCTTAAACCCACTAGACTCTATAGGGTGTTAATTTAGCAACAGATAATTTGTTTAGTAAGAAAATATGTGACACACACGCCAGATTCGTTCACTGATTTATCTACCGTTGTTTATCCCCACAGATCATTTTAAAAGCTGGAGTCTAGTACTTCTTATAAAGTAGGGCAGCTGTCGTTTCCAAATCAAATAAACAGTTTCTCCCAAAGATTTGGGCTTTTTTTGAACCATGCATTTAGTGGTGTGAGGATGGTGGGAAAGCTAGACTTTAATTTTTATTTTTCCTGGTTGGAACGCTGCATTTCTCACTCCGGTGCAGGACAGGAGTCTGATGCCGCCGTGGTCCTGGCTTTTGTAGTCTTAACCAAAGGGTTCTACCAACGACCACTTAAAAGAGGCTTCAGATGGAAGCTCTCATTATTCCCCTATAGGGAGGCGTAGGCCACACACACTTTAGAAAAATCAGCGGGTTTTTGTCGAGATTGAAATATTAAAGTTAGGCTTAAAACGTAGTATTAGTTCAGTAGGCATCGCTGTTTTTTCCTACATGGCTCCACTTAACGGGACTCTCTTAACCCGAGGTTTAAATAAGATTACATCCTGTCATGAATGTGTCAAGATAGATTTAGTAACATGTAGTTATATTTCACGAAAATTAGCCCGGCCCTTCTGTCTCCGGTAACCACTCACGTCCCTATTGAGATGTCAACATTTGATTAAACGTCCATCAATTTCAACATTATTACACACACACGAGGATGCCAGGCATCCAGACTTACCGAGAGAGATGGAGATTTCCACCACATGGCACTGGACTGACACTCAAAAACAGCCCTGCGGTTGGCAACATCCTCTCAGACGCGACCGGTTCTTCAACCGAGCTTCTGCTTTTATGGAGTAATTGTGTATTCTTGGAGGTCACGTACTGGTCAATCCCGACCGTATTATTCATTTAGCCGTATATACTTATAAATGCGTTAAATGTTGGGCGGGGTGGGGACGGATATGAGCAGTTGGAACTAAACGTGTCATGTGAATCTGATGGCTCTACTCTGGGTCGTTCTCTGTCTTGTCCGTCAAGTCTCTTGCCGTGGATGGTCCTGCAGGCACGAGTCTCCCGTTTCCCCCCCTGACCCATTTCAATTTGCCTCGGCTGCAGCTCGAAGTCCATTGTGTCAACCTAGTGCATGTGTTTGCAATAAATGTGTGATTTATGTTGGACCCATGTAGGCCGTACGTCTTTGCTCTGAAAAGCAGGGAAGTTTTACACTTTGGAACGGACCCCAGAGATAAAAACCTTGGGGTCAGAGATACGCACACTGCAGCTCCAGCGGCTCGGAGCAAAGCAAAACCCTCACTCAAATTGGTTGTGATGAAACTGTCTGATTCTGATCTCTATTTAAATGTTTCCAAGTGAAAGCCATAAGCAGGAGAGGACCGGAACACGCGTGATTAGATGTGTGTGTGTGTGTGTGGTGTGTGTCAGGGCCGGGGCTCGGAGGCTGGCTGGAAGTGTTATGGGGATCTGCAGCCAGGAGAGACGGTCCTGCAGGATATAAAGGAGAGGAGAGGGCAGGAGAGGCGGCTCCACGAGATCCAACAGCAGCTGGAGATGCTGAACCAGGGCCAGGAGATGACTGTGAGTTCAAAGCAGCTACTTGTGTTCACACACACACACACACACACACACACACACATCTTTCCTCCTTTTCTCCATTTCCCTTCTCCGGTTGCATCCCTAGTCAGTGCTCAACAGCGGGTGTTGCCCGTGGACACTATTTTGAGGTATTAGCTGCCGATTGTTGGACTTTGGTTGCCATCAGTGGGGATTACAGAGGGCCGGGCTGATGTTGCTGTTGCTTAAGGTGCCCACAATCCAAAGAAGTGATGGGTCTGTGGAGGGAATCAGCATGGAGGTAAAAGAAAAGGGAGGAAATGGATGAACAAGGAACCTTTGACTCGCTGGATTCACCGTTGAGGCTTCTGGAAAAAGACGACGTTAGCGTTGAGCCCTGCTAACAGCTAAAATATTAACTTCACAGTTCATGTCGAATGTGGATTTACATTTGTTTTCAGTGAGGAGTGGAATGTCTTTCCCTTTTGGCGATTCCATTGCTTTAAAACATTCTTGGCTTAGATTTGATGTCCAGCCTCCACAGAGTTCCCTAAAAACCATTGAGCTCCGTCTGCTTCTAGGAGCTACTGCAGAGTTACAAGCGACTCCCGCAGCTAAAGGTACATCACAAGAATGCCTCAAGAACAAAAGGCTCTGAGTTCTGCTCTCTCTGACATTTATTCTGTTGGAAAGAAAAGGAAAAGATTTGAGAGTGTTTTGAGCTTCTCTCGATGGCGTCCAAATTACATCGGTTCTCACAGTGATGGAGCGCGACGCGATCATGTATGTGCCTAATTTAAAGATGAAAGATGCTCGCACACAGCGAGGTAATAAAAACAACAAGCGGCAGTCACGCCCTGACATCAAACAAGGCACCGTGCCATGCAAACAGAACCTAATTAAGAAAAACCGTGTTCTCACTGCATGTTACAGCCACTAAATGATTAAACCCGGCAAGCGACTGCAACGCAAAGCGCCCACTCACTGTGTTCTCTGTGCCACCGGGTGTGTTTTCAGGTTGGAAAAGATTTATTCGAACGGAATTTGTCTGGGAGGACATTCTTGAAGAGTTCCAAGCAGCTCCAGGAAACTCATAAAGTTGATTTGTGTCACATCCGTGAGTCAAATGTTTTCTTCGGCGGCCTTTTCACACCTGAGGGCTGAAGCAACCGTGCAGGCTTCGTGCGTAGTTCTCTGGTGCACTGCAGGAGCACGATAACCAAGGAGAAATTAGTGTGTGGATATATTTAGTTTTTGTTTTTTAATAGTAATAATAGCGATACTCTGTCTTACATCACCAGGGTGATACGCTTTTTCTCCTGTGGCCTACGTGCTGCCCTTTGTTTCTTTGTGTGTCGAACCTGTTAAAGAAGACGTCCCTGCTTACAGTCGATGATGACGCCAGTAGATTAGAAGATCCTTCCTGGATTCCAAACAAGGAAACTAAAAGTCAAAGGGGATGGCAATTTATTCATTTGTTTTAAGTATATATTTGAAATCTTTCATACACATACAGAAAACTCTACCAGGAAGGATTGGATGTCACGTTTTTCCCTCAGAAGAAGTTTGCTGCTCTATGTTTAGTCTGGAAAGGTGGAAAATGTTAGTTAGTCTCCTACATTTTATCGGTGACCACAGATTCGGTGCTCCGCTTCAGTTTGATCGACTCCAGCTGGCGATGTTAAGAATTCAAATGTTTGTCTAGAGACCTACCTAATTTCCCCTTTCGCGGTGATTTATTTAAACAAAAGACGCGTAGTCTTGGATTCAGATGTGAGACTTGTTATTGTGTGCGTCATCTCTGCTTCTCCTTTCTCTCAATCCAAACAAAACTCCCATTCCAGCGAAACGTATCTCTTGACCGAAGAATCTCCTCCTGCGGCTTTAGTTTTCCCTTTTTTTTTGTTCCGTCGGCGGTGATATTTGCCTGTGCCTGATGGAGAAAGAGAAAGGTATCATCGCTACGCGGCTGCCATTGTTCTCGGTTAACGGCACGTAGGGTTCAGCGGGGTTATTTTCAAGTGTTAAAGCTAAATGTGTGAACTCAACAGCTGACCCGGTGCCAGTTTTCCTGCAGCCTCGTTTGGCCGCGTTCCTGGATCAACGGCAAAAGGAAGGACAATCCCAACGTTTACAGTAAGGCCGGATGGTCTCAGCGGGGCGATCTTGGTCTGATCAGGAAGACATCATCAATCATACAATTTAGCTTCATATCAGCCAGGTTTCCATACAATTTACCGACTAGAACGTATTTATTTCCAGTTGTTGAAGTGACTTCTTCCAAAGTTAGAACCTTGAACACCGACAGGTCAGAGTTGGCCCGTATCTGTTGGCGTAGGTCTTATCAAACACTGCCCTTTCACAACTCTTTTTCCACAGGAGGCCAGAAAGACATTCCTTTGCTCCCAACTTCTCTTAAACTTCTCTCAAACTTCTCTCAAACTTCTCTGCCCCTGCCACGGCTTCTGGCTTCTGGCTTCTGGCTTCTGGCTTCTGGCTTCTGGCTTCTGGCTTCTGGCCTGATCACACTGTCTGCTCTCTTTTTAAACACTTCATGATCTCCTGAATTGGAGACGTTTTCACTAGTGAGCGGCAGAGACCAAGTGATGTTCGCACACATGGTAAATCACCTGAAAATAGACAACTTTACGTCCAATAGAGGTGAGTTATGTGAACGATGTCAGAGGACCGTGAAAGCTGAGCGGCCCGCGCTTGTGGTAAACCGGTCCGGCTCGTAGCCGAAGGGCCCGACCGTTCTGGCTTCGTCAGATTCATCAGCAGCTGATAATCCGAGACGGTACAGTAGGCCGGAGCCTTTGTCTGAAGGTTGAGAGGTTTACCCAGAGCTGGACGTCTCCCGTCTGCAGGACGGAGAACAACACTGACCTCATGGTCCCCGTGGGTGCTACCGACGGAGGTTTCCCTTCAGCACAGGGCGTCAGGTCACTCGATTAGCCCGCCGGGTCTGGATAGCAGGTGGGAAAGCAGTACGGGATGTCTGGAGCTGTAATATTGGAATTTGGACAATTATCTCCAGACATCTCGCGCTTGGGGATTTATTGGACTCTTTTTTTTTTTTTTCAAGACTCACCGACTTTAGCGATAAGCCAGTCGAGGGACTCTGCGCCCGCAGCAACGGCTGTTCCTAACGCTCGTGGAATCGCTCGCGCTCGGAGCATAAATAACTGAAATAAATTGTCGGGTTCACGAGCCGCCACGTCAAAGCAATCCCCCCCCCCCCCCCCCCCCCCGTTGACGGCCTTGTTGTGAGGGGAAAGTATTTCAATGCATTTGAACAAAGAGGTGATTATAAAACCATACATTGTTATGCTTGCATGTTTTTTCCATTGTTATTCCTTTCTCAGGATGTGTTCAGTATGTCAGTGTTAGCAAAACATGGACGATGGAGTTTCCGTCTTTCCAGAAAGCTGTCAAGGTAAGATGGTCATCTTTGAGCCAAAAGAGTTCCGTTTGGATATTACAGCTACACGGCTACACATTACACAGCTACACTCGGCGTTGCCAACGGTTACCAGACAAGACACTCATGGCAGCTGAAAAAAAAAGGTTCCGATAAAAGGGCCAATTATCACATTTGGTATTTAATTTGCGCAGCCTTGATGTGTTTCGCGGTGCTTCGGTCTGCTGTTTACTAGCGGTGTTAACTGGGAGGCGGACTGTGGTACTGGTGTTAGACGGACAGGAAGTCACCCTCGGCCTCCCGCCCACTGAGGGCACCTGAGGTTCAACCAAAGACTCACAGCGTTCTGTCACAGCCGTAAAAAAAACAAAACACTTTCTCTCCTACATCTTCTTTTCTTGGAAAGTCTAACTTGTAGTTCCCATCGAACCGGCTGGGACCAGTTAAAGTTATTTCTGGCCATTAATGCTCTAGCCAGTGGGGTTCTTTTTTTTATTGCCCCTTGAGCAGTCAAATCCTGACAGACCTGTAATTGACCAGTGTTTTTTTGGGGGGAGGCCATGAGTTTCAAGTTGCAGGAATGCCTCGCTGATGTCTGTGCAAATTTATGATACAGTTCCAAGCAAGTTTTCTTTTTTTCTGTGGGCGGGTGTCAGTTGTACCTATTAAAACACAAAATGAACCTGGTAGGGCAGCTGAGTGAATCCCAAATTCCTAGACGCTAAGTGTGCTGCTGGTGCACAAACCATTGGATATGTTTTTTTTTTCTTTTCCTTTCCCCTTCCACTATGTGGAGGTCAAGGTCAAGTCTACAGGCAAAGGGCCGTGTCTTGCTCCGCGCATTTCAAAGGATAAAAACATGGAATGTGTCCACGATGCCTGCGGCCTCCTTTACGTTTGAAAGAGCAAGTAATTGCTCGGGTCTGAATGAGCAACGTGGCCCAACCTGTCGTGATCTGACGGGTGTCTGTTATTACATTCTGCAGGACTTTGTTCACGCATAAGCGTTTGTCTGGTAGAGATGTCTATCTGCCACTGGGTCCCGCCGAGGGGCTGAAGGGTGTTAGAGGGCGGTCGGGTCCTATGGGGAATACAGACGATAGACAGCGTTACCTTATAGTGGTAACGGATAAGAAACAGCGACGTGATGTGTCTCGAGTGTCTGGAAAACAACTGCATGGGCGTAATATTCTCTCAGGACTCAGTCTGAGAGGATGCACACACTTTTCAGGTTTGCTTTTGAACTAATTTATAATTTATATCTATTATTTCTGCCTTGACTGGCGTCTGAATCAGGGACGGGATAATTGGGACATTTCTGCTCCGGGGCCAGGGACACTTTGTTCAGCACGTGATGACGGCGGGGAACAAAAGTGCACATGCAAAAAGAAGGAGGATAATCATTAGCCGTGACATGTTTTTGGTAGACTGTCAAGGTGATGAAAGGCAATGAGTCGATATTATTAGAATATTGGGTTCTTGCAGCAAAGTACAACATTTCGAAATTGCCCTTTGTTGTTCTTCTGGGTTTGTATCCTTATGGTTGAAATGCACTTATTGAAAGTCGCTCTGTATAAAAGCGTCAGCTAACTGACATGTAATGTAATGTAACGTGAGAACGTAATGTTCTCACGTGAACAGATGCCAACTATGAGCACTTGAGCATAGGTAAATTGATCATGTTTCACCTTATTATTATTATAAGACAGGATAATCCTTTATTTGTCCCGCAACTGAAAATTCACGGGAGGGAAACACGGGATAAAAACAAGAGCAAATAACTGTAAATAAGCAGTAACAAAAAAACAAGGATCCACATAAACTCTAATTAGTCTAATTAGTAGTTGTTTATCACCATAATAAGACAACATGTATTTCATTCTGAACCATTTCCTCATAATCCACTCTAAAAAGGTTGGCTTTTCCCTTCCAACTCTCCTGCACTTCCAATAGGAGTCTGATATCATGAAGTGTTTTTCCCCCGACTACTTCCAACTATGCACAAGGAAGAGGCGCGGCAATATTATTATTAACTGCCACTGTCATCACAGTTCATGCATTCATCCAACACATTATCAAGAACTGAGTTTTAAGCCCAGCGAAGGATGTTCTTACTGGGAACACATTTTGGGGGGATTTTTGGGGACAGCTGCTAAGCTGCGGATATCCTGTAATAAGGCCATGTGACCTGGATGCGGCGTACTGTACACGATTGCTTGTAAGACGCTTCTGTGTGCACATATTCTTCTTTTCATTTCCCCCCGTGGTCTAAAATCATATATATATTTCTTGAATCCCCCTACATACGTTATATTTGTGTCCTCCTGCAGAACGGCTCGGCAGACCTGACGGAGGAGCAGTTACTTAGTCTGCTGGGTGGATGTGAGCTGACGGAGGAACCGACCCAGGATCTCGAGACAATTGACACCTCACAATGAGGCCCTAAGAAAGCCGTGGGTCTTCTTTTATTTTTTAAATGCTTTTCTAACTTTCGGTTATTCTGTAAACAGTACTATACTATTGTAATAAAAGTGCTGCTGATTTGAATCCATTTACTCATACATTTTGTAATGTAATGTAACATTTATAACAAACATTTTCTGTGCTTTTGAAGAAACACCCTCCGCTTTTTCCTGCTGATGCTACTGAATGTTTCCTTTCTTCTTTCTCACACAATTCATCAGGACTCCCTCTGCGTTGTAACTGTAATGAGAATATGTTGAAATGTGTTGCTTCCACCCTGTGAACTTCTATTTTTGGTTTCCTTGTTTTCAATATGCAGCAGGATCGCGTCCCATTGTTGTTATTTTGTGTTTAAGTCCTTTGCTCGAGGAAACGGAGCAGCAGCACTGCAGGCTTCCAACAACCTGAGTATCATAGATGAGAACAGAAAATCACAGCTATTAAATGTAATAACGGGGTACTGTGGCCGCAGAATGTTCTACAGCTCACATACAAACTCAAAACAGTGAAATCTGAACGCTGCATTCGGTTTACTTTCATTTAACTAGAGAAGTTCTGAAGTTGCCATGTTCATTAATGAGGAAAACGGGGATGAGCTTTTCCCCACACGAGTGATGATCGAAAGTCCCACTCAGAAAAATCTCGGCATTCCTGTCATTCCTGCCTCCGCAGGTGATCTGCTCCAGTTCGGGACAGATTAGTGGGATCTTCTACTGAAGTGTCTGAAACGGACAGACGATGGGCAGCATTGAGGATGTTGACTCGTCGTTTGTTGGGGAGACTTTGAACGCTGCTGACACGGTTCCCACTTTCTCCTTCTCGCGTCTCCAGCTGGCCGTTCTCGGCTCCAGGGTTCCTCGCCTCGCCCCCCTCTCTCACCGGCACGGGACACCTACGGGCCTGTTCGCCTCACCCTTCCCCTCACCCAGACATTCTGACCCCCCCCCCCCCCCTCTAACCGGCCAGGAATTATCCCACATTCCTCTGGGCTGAAAACAGGTGATCCTCCAAGGTCAAGCGTGCGTTATCTGCCCGGGGATCAGAACAGGTGCGACAGAGCACCAGCGCACATCAGACCAACAACTGACATCAGTTTTCAGTCCGTAAGATTCACAACACTTTGTGAGTGCAGCACAACATGTCTTCAGTCTGGAAGATATGCTACTCATTTGGGGCAATGGAAACACAGGGAGCTTTATGCGGTGGGGATGAGATCACTTCTAATGTAAGGAAGCCGCGGCGCGCTGAGGCCGTCTGTGTTTTCACCGTTGCCTTGGGCTGCGGCTTATTTCAGGCCCTGTGGAGCACAGACATCAGCGGCCTCGCACGAGAAACTGTAGAATGTCAATGCACATTCTCGCTGGTAGGAGCGGAGCAGATCTGCATGGACGCGCTCTGTAAGCAGTTTATACTTCATGTTGAGTTTTCCTGCAGCTGACTCCCAAGAATATTCCCTTTCCCCAAAGCTTCACCAGACTCAACTGGTGGATTCCAGCGTGGCTCGGCTCCCTCTGCTTTTCTTGGGAGAGGGCTTCAATCAGAGTGCAAGACGTCCAGAGACCATTGGGAAAGAAGTGAAACTGTTCAACTCTTTGCCCACAATGACATCAGCCGACCACGGCACCTTTTCAAAGTGTTTATTGTTCAGTTGACATTACAAAATAATATGTAAAAGAAATGAACGGCACTTTGGGTAGGAACTATAGTACAAAGTTTATAGAAAAGCGTCACTGATAATTAAAAAAGACATACAAAAAAACAAAGACATCCTCATGTCAGTGTGCAAATAAGTTTTTACAGACAGAAACGCTTCCATATGAGGCTACGCTTCTAGATAAATTATTTAAATAGCATACATCTACACAAATGAAATAAACTCAACATAAAACAAACACAATAATTTATCAAAACAAATGCACAGGAAATACATATAGCACAACATTCAGATAACATGTATTTAATCCTTTATGTTCCTGTTTGGGCTTCTACAAAAATATCTTATATACACACAGAATAAAAAAATGATACTAAAGTCTCGCTTAAAAAAAATATATAAGCCAACCAATTTATACTCTGATGCTAAGACACGTGATTCTTGTGCATTGCAGGCCTCAATACAAAAATAATTAATGAGGTAATATTTGTACATGAAGGGTTTCCTTTGATTTCCCCCTGTCAGAAATGTAGGCCTATAAACAAAAGCTCAGGCACACCAGTCATGCACGCGATATGGATGTTTACAGATACTATAAGTGATCTTTAACTGTTTGGGTCTAATGTATTGTTTCATCTTGCCATTAGCCAAAAACAGCCCTACTTGCAAAGGTTTACTCGGGAAGGAAAAAGACTGGCCCGCTCTGTATAAATCCCGTCACACACTCAGTAAAGATTAGAGGTATGAACATAATATTTACTAAGAATCGTGGCTCCAAAGCAGTGTTACGTGCAGCTGTTCCAGAGCCCTGTGCCGTCCTGAATTTTGTGCTCTCCTCGTCTCTTCTAGTGCTCTTTCCTGAGAAGAAGTTTGAATGTTTTTGGGTGGCGGGGTCTTTAAAGGAAGTCAAAATGAAAACTCATAATACAGTTGTCTCGTTGGGTGGCACACATGCACAAACACACAAACCACATTCACTCTCTTTGATAGCAACAGTCAGTTTGGTCCCTCAACAGTTCCTTCAAGCCAAGGAGTTGTCCTACTGCTCTCTTCATACCGACATACCACAGCAGATGTCTACTAATGCTCAAAAATAATATTTAAAACCATGTAACACTCTCCCCTTTGGTCATTTGTCCGCAGAACAATTCTGCCGACAGTTAAGTTGTGCAAAGCAACAAGACGCGGGTTCCCCCTTCAACGCGGATCAGAGCAACAAAGTGAGAGGGCCAATTTCTTCTCAACAGAGCTGTGCTCATGTGGAGTTTGGTGCAGAATCATCATTGAACTTTCATTTGGCGTTATGTCCTGAGGTCAGTTTACCTCATATTAACTCACTTGCTCGTCATTCCTCCAATGTGCAGTTCTCAAAAGAAAAAAGGTTAAAGAGATATCGGTCCAGGTCTTGTATTATATATTCATACCAACGGACAGTCTGCTAGAAGGTCCTGTGCTCCAATTATGTATCTGAAAGAAATTATAGGAGAAAATATGTTAAAAATAAAGTGAAAGGAAATGTAACCGTTCTTTTTAAAATATTAAATAATCGCTTGGTGCTTACCTCTGCATTCGTATTTGAGGTCTGAGAAGTAAACCATCTCCTGAGAGAAGACGTACAACCCTAGTCGCCCACCGGCGTACGTCTTGTCGTAGATGTTCCCAGAATCGGCCATGATCCTCTTGCCTTCATACATGACCACTCTAAAAAAGAAAATGTAATCACATGAGCTCAATGCCGCTATGGTACAAATGATGCAGATCTTGTAACTGAACGAGGGGTCGTGCCTCTGAGGTTTTGAACTCACCTAATAAGTCCAGACGTGGGCCTGTGGGTCAGATGCCATCTGTAGGCAGTGAAGTCCTTCCAGCCAATGTTCTTGGGGTCGTGCCACAAAGTGCGAACCTGAAAAGTAAGATTTTCCATGTTTAGACTCAGAAAAGGGTCCAACTACTTGAACAATATCAAACTCAATGAATGTACACCAACCTGTCCTGCGGTGTCTCCGGTGTGCCACAGGGCGTTCCTCAGATGCTCACCGGGCCCAGTGGTGGAGTTGACCACTTTGATTGACAGGCCCGAGTAGCCTTGAGCTCTTGTGGGCGTGTGCGACCAGTAGGTCTGTGTGATCTGTTTCCACATCACTGTGTAGAACCGGGAGCTCGACTGGTAGCCAAACACGAAACCGGCGTAGTCGTCATCTCTGTCCGTGTTGACGAAGAACGTTCCACTGAAGTCCACTGCGCTGAACTCGTCGTAACCTGAATCCATTAAAGAGATGGTTTAGAAGAGCTTTGCTACCACTTTATGTCCACGCAGAAGAAGGTCTGACTGTGTATTACGCACCAACGGCAATGCCGGGGTCGCAGTTGACGGTCTGCACCAACTCCTTGCCCTGATGCCGGACCACCCAGTTGGGGTCAATCTGGGACGTGCCCTTGGGGTCCAGAGGAACCATTTGGAATCTGCGGAAGTCTGTTTCGCTGATGGCAAAGTTCTCCGGGCACACGTCATGGATGTCCAGAATGTTGTCTTGGTCAAAATCGTCTTTGCACACGTCACCGCGGCCGTTGCCTGAGAGGAAAAGGCGGAACATGGAAATCAAAGATGGAAAAGGAGCAACAAAACTAAACAAAGGGACTATTTATCAGGTAGATTCCACCGACGTCAAACAAAAGAGCACACATGACACAACGTTGACAGAATGTCTCACCGTCAGAGTCCAGCTGATCCGGGTTGAACGCCAGCCTGCAGTTGTCCTTGTCGTCGGGAATGCCGTCGTTGTCGTCGTCGTGGTCGCATGCGTCACCCTTGCCGTCCTTGTCGTGGTCCGCCTGGTTGGCATTGGGTATGTAGGGGCAGTTGTCCAAGTTGTTCTGGTGACCATCCTCGTCAATGTCCTGGTTGTTGTCGCACTTGTCTCCTACGCGATCTGAGTCAGAGTCGAACTGCAGGAGAACAGAATTCCTTTATGATGAGATTTCCCGCTCACACTGTAAGACTCTTGTCCTCGCTTCAACTGATGTATCAGGTGCCGCTGGTCTGAAGGAAGCCCCTTGTTTTCAGGTATGCAAGCAATGTCCTTTCAGACAAGCGAGCGGTGCCCTTGCACTTCATCAGAATTACATATTTGTTCCAAAGCGGGATGAATGGAGAGGAGGCACTGTGGTATTTTACCCTCAAAGTCGGCACATTACTATCTGAACATAGTCAAGCGAAACAGTGATCTACGTTAACCAGCATGGGTTGTTATGGACGGACGAGAGTGTAGTTTACCTGGTCGGGGTTGTGCTCCAGAGGGCAGTTGTCGCAGTGATCACCCACCCCGTCCCTGTCGGTATCTCTCTGATCCACGTTGTAAACATACGGGCAGTTGTCGTTCTCGTTCAGAATGCCTAATGGGTGACACGAATACGACTCATTTAAGCTCACAGGACTGTAAAAAAACTGAATGAAAGGCATTTGAAGATAACTTTAATAGGAGTCGGTAAAAAACACTTACCATCGCCATCAATGTCAACAGCGCAGGCATCGCCCTCGCCATTGTTGTCAGTGTCCGTTTGATCGGTGTTGGCCTCGTACACGCAGTTGTCACAGCTGTCGCCAATGTCGTCTCTGTCTGCGTCATACTGCGCAGGGTTGTACACTCTTGGGCAGTTGTCCTAATTTTTAAAGAGAAATCAAAACCCACAATGAAATGACTCAAATGGATCATTACTGAAATCCACTGTATGTACAGGAACAAAACTCTACTTGTTCTACTTTTTGTGATGTTCCACTGCAAGCACAGCATTTTTCTTTTTCGCCTAACTTTCCAAATCCACACTAAGAAATATGGCCAAAAAGCCACAGAGTTCTTAATCCTGGCTTCATGCACTGCTACATGTTTTCCACTTTGGTGAAAGCACAAAAACACAGAGACTTTACATTCCTACTGCCCAAAGGAATCATGGCTGCGTCTGATTGCTACGTCTGGCCTCTGAGGAAAGCACACTCTGGGGCTTAAATAAACTGCCGTGATGACTCACCCTATCATCGGGGATCCCATCGTTGTCATCATCGCGGTCACATTCATCACCCAGGCCATCTTTGTCATGATCTTCCTGGCCGGAGTTGGGAAGGTTGGGGCAGTTGTCCTGTAAAGGAACAAAGGAGCAGTTAAGGAGACACTCTTCACAACAATAGAGTCCAGATATTCACGCCGGTCCATGTGGGGTCTGCCTACCTTCTTGCAGTGGTAGGTGGCGTTCTCCACACAATGCAGGTCAATGTTTGGCCATCCGTCAAGGTCACTGTCCTCTCCGCAAATACGGCCGTTCCCAGCGTACCCTGGCTTGCACTCGCAGCGGTACATGGACTCGGAAAAGACGCCCAAGTAGATGCAGTTTGCATTCCTATGGCAGTCGTGGCTCCCGTCTTGGCAGGGGTTACGGGGTTTGCAGACCTAAAGAAAATTACACTGTTAAAAAAAAAGAAACTGGAAGCAGCTAACCTACAAGCCACAGGCACAGTGAGCGAGTAATAACTCTAACCTGTTTTTTAGCAGTCGCCTGTTCCACTCCTCTTCCGAAGGGCTGAGGACCAGAGAAGCGCGCAGGGCAGGGAAGGCAGTTGTAACCGGGCTCGGTGTTCTCACAGCGATGGACTCCGTTATGGGTGTGGCAAGCATCGGGCACCTCTTTACATTCATCGATGTCTTTGCAGGCGACGCCGTTCCCAGAGAAGCCGGGTGGACACCTGCCACACCTGAAAGAGCCGTCGGGGAAGCTGGCGCACTTTGCTCCGGGGAAGCAAGGACTGGAGAGACAACCATCTGTAGAGAAAAATAAACGGCACTTTAAAAAAGGGAAAGCTGCTGCGAATGACTTAATCTGATTTTGGTTGAACATCAAAGCCTGCTTACCAATAGGGCAGTCCTGTTTGTTGCACAATTGAGACAGGGAGGCGTCCCCAACGCAATCCTTTCCTCCATATTTGGGGACAGGGTCGGAGCAGAGACGTTTGCGGGTCTGGACTCCTCCGCCACAGGTAACAGTGCAAGTGTCCCATGGTGACCAAGGTCCCCAACCTCCATTGACTAAAGGGTATCATGAAAACATTGTTCAGTTTGTTCCCTTGACTCCAGATACACTCACACATTGTTGATACTTTGCAACTGAAATTCAACCCACCAGGACAGGGTGACTTTTGGCAGATTTCCGTTTGACGCCCTTCCCCCTGGCAGTCCCTGCCCCCCATCTGCGGCGTGGGAGAGTTGCAGAGGCGTATCCGGGTGATGACGCCCTCGCCGCAGGTCACGGAGCACGATGACCAGGGAGACCAGTGGCTCCAACCGCCGTCCTGTTTGACTGTGAGCAGCGCATGCCCGATTAATTCATAGCGCTCTCAAACGGTGAACGTCTATCGTCGCAATGGGGTAAAAAATGTTTTTTTAAACGTTGCGCGAACTTACAGCGTTTGTCGCATTCCTGAGGGTAGCAGTCACGGGTCTGGACGGAGGTGCCCTCGCAGTTGCTGTTGATGCGGTCACAGGAGCGCCCGCGCTGCTGGATGCCCCGGCCACAAGTCACCGAACAATGGGTCCAGTCAGACCAGGGGGACCAGCCATCCTCTGTGACTGTACGGAGGAAATGATATCTCAAAAGGGGAACCAAGACAATGAGATGAAAGTTCCAAAGCAGATTCAGAAGGAGTCTCACTTGGTCCACAGCGAGGGCAGCACTCTCCATCTGGCACGGTGGCGTTGGCACACGGCATCAGAGGGCAGGAGATTTTGCGACACACGGTAGCAGAGTTCTGGACAGAGGAAGAGTTGAATTAGTCCAAGAATAATGTGGGAGCCGACTGAGCTGGTGCTATTCCAAGCCTTAATGCTCTGATTCATGATGGAGGGATGTTTATCTGTGACATAACACCTTGATAGAAAACCTAATCCTCACTCACACTCTATTAGTGTAACTAATTACACAATGCATGAGCAACCTTCACTAGAGGTTGTTGGAGGAAGAAAGAAAAGCCCCCATGCTGCTTTGTTGCTAATGAAGAAGAAGTGTTGGCGGCTTTCAGGCAGAATAGATGCTGTTACAGAGCAAGGCGCTGACACGGACACTATTATCACTTCATAACAGCAGGGACACAGGAGACACGGCGGCGTCTTTCTTCGGGCCGGCTTGCTTAAAGGTCGCATTCCAGCAGGTGTGGTGTGACGCTCACCTGGCAGGTGCACTCGGTGCAGCTATCCACGGTCCATTCATCTTTGTCCTTGTGTTCGAATCCGTTGTGGATGCAAATTCCACCGGGGATGTTCATTTGATTTTTCAGCAGCGTGCTGTCCTCAGACTGGAGGGGAACAGAGGGAGAGAGAGAGAGTTTCTCAGGACGGAGCACGGAAAAGTTTCCCTCTGCCAAAGTTCCGATTCAAATGAATCACTGACCGACAGCGTGATTAAGACATCGCCTTGCCGCTATTGAAGCAGTGCAAACGTGACCGAGAGCCAAACATATTTGTGTATTCAGATGGGTCTCATTAAGGACTCGGCCAGAGACCGCCATTACAGCGACAAGTGGCCGGGGAATGCTTTAAAGACGGAGACGGGAGGAGAAGAAGGAGCGAATGCTGACGGAGAGCAGAGCCTGGAGCTTACCACTTTGCGCAGTTCATTCGACAGCTGTTTAACGACAACGCCGAGTCCCTTGAGCTCCTTGAACATTCCGGCGATGTCCTCACAAGAGAAGCCGCAGACAGCCTGCGGATCTGAATGCAGGGGAAGGACGGTCCAATGATTGACTTCACCGGTTGAGAGGAACGGAGACAAACTTTCAGGGTGGGGTCGAGGGGGGGGGGTCTCACCTTTGGTTCTGTGGCCGGTGTAATCGGCCCTAATGGCTGGGCTGGAGCCGTTGACCGGGTTGTTCAGGGTGAGGACGTCAGTTAAGGTAGCTGCAGAGAGGAAAGAGGACACGTTCATTTCTGTTCACTGGAGCACAAGATAGTCAGTCGACGGACGAACGGTCTTGATCTATTCAGACGTACCTCCACTCTGGCATCCCTTATTTCTCAGTATAGCATCCAGAGGGGTCCCAAAGATGAAGCGGAAGTTTTGAAGCACTCCCTGCGGGACAATGAATTACAGTCAAGACATTTTCTTACAGGACCAAATGTTACTTTTCATCGCAAGTAATTGGGTGAGCCGAATCACTTAGAACTTACCATGAATTTGTCCCTCACGACTCCCTTTCCGATCCTGAGCCTGGCAACGTCGGCCAACTCCTGGGACAGCACTTTGGAGATCGGCAAATCCATCTCTGACACGTTGATCTCCTCGCAGCCGACGAAAAGCTGCACCCGGTCATCCTGGACAAACAGCGTGACGTTCTTCCAGTGTCCAGTGGCCAAGTCAGCATCCTCGATGGACACGACCTGCTGCTGGCTCAGAGTGGAGTAGACCACGTCCAGAGTGTTCGCCTTGCCGTTGGAGATGATCTCGAAAATGGATCCGGAGCCGTCCTTCTTCTCGATGGTCAAAAGGCTGCCCCGGGTCTTCTTGAACTGCTTCAGGTTGACCAGGAGGAGGAAGCCCCTCTCGGCCTGGATAGAGTCCAGGAGGTCCCTGAGGTAGCTGTCTGGCACCGGGGGGATGAGGTCTGCGTTGAGGACCTTGTATGCAGGGCTGTGGGGGTCGACACCTTTGACCAAAGTCACTCCGTTGTGTCTCTTGTTTACCCGGGCCATTTCAAATAGGTCATATACACTGTTATCGCCTCGACTCTCTGCGGGCAAAGAAAAAAAAAAAAATCTCATAATGACCGTGTGCATGAAAATGCATTAAACCAAAATGAAAAATGAAATACATGTATATTATATTTAGTATTAACAAAAATAAAATCATCATAAGAAACTTTATTATATTGAAATGATACTATAGCGTCCCAACTGGTATTATATTATTTTATTAAATTGGGAACTACCTTTACAGGCCAAAAAAGGAAGGATTAATAACAAACGTTTCCCTTCTCACCTGCCAATCTGGCTCCTTCACAGCTCCAAAGCATCAACAGCACACAGATGCCCCACAGCATCATTCCTAAACCTCAAGTGGCCCCTGCTGACAACACAACAACAAACACGCCGTTACGGGACACATCTGTGAGACATATTGCCATTAAAAAAAAAACACGTTAATTGTTAAAATAGTCTACAAACCTTTAAAAAATAAAAATCCCCTCCAAAAATAGATGAGAAGAAAGTGCTCGCTTGCTGGACTCAGTGTCCCGTCTCTCTTCCTTTAGAACTCGTTGAAGCTCATCAACTGGTCGGGTGAAAAGTCTCCGTGAGCTCCTCTCCGGGGTTTATTCCGCTGCTTGGACTTATTCTACTGACTGGTTTCACCGATACGAGCGCTACTTAAACGGTCCGAGGACATTCCTGAGGGCTCGTCTGCACCAATGGGGAGGCTGCGTGGAAAAGAGGGCGGGGCTTATCTTCTTACCTCAGAGCCTGTCAGAGGAACATCCGCGACGCACACACACACACACTCACGCACACACACACACGGAGGAGGAAAAAAAGGCATTCCTGAGACATTTCCATCACCGGACAAATATTTAGCACACGCACCGGCGCCAAGATTTGGTCGTTTCCGGTCAAGTCAGAGTCGAATGGTCCTTACTTTATAAGGCTGTCATTTAAATAAATAAATAAAGATATTTTAATGATTCTAAATGAGCAGGCCAATTAATTTCGGTAGACTGGTTTTAGAGGATTTAGAAGTAATGTAAAACATTGTATTCCATAACCTTGAAGCCTAACCCTGATATGAATTAATTCCAGCTAAGATTCATGGCATAAAAAATGTAATTAGGTTACTGGTTTCATGTGTTCTTCTCATTCAATCACTGAGTGATGACTATGTAGTGGCTTCAAAGGTCCCCTTATGTCTATAAAGTGTAAAAATAGTTATTTGAATGTCAGAAACACGCACGTTCACACCAAGCATGTGTGTATTTTACTAACTCGGCATGTTTGCTTAAATGTATTTAAAATGTAAGTTTGTAAGGTTAACATTGTAACCGTGTACAGTAATGTCCCCAACATGTAGTGTAGCAGAAGTATAAAGTGGACGAAAAGTGAAATAGCACCTAAAAAACTCCTTTAGGTCACTTTTCACCACTGACCATTTGATCGATTTTTATAAACTAAAACATTTGCTCAGTTTCCTTCAAAATGATGCCATTGTTTACGGCTTAGCAGTTGACCTTTGCCCTCTTTCTCTCTCTCTTCTCTCCCAGACCGATCCTCGGGACAGACTGCTGTCACTTCAGCGCCGTCCTCAGCCGTGGCTACGATGCGACCCAACATCTGGACGGCGGCTCTCCAGCCGGTGTGTGCGCGCCACCGGAAACGCCACACTTTTTATGACCACCCCCGGGGCCATTTTGGACCCACGCCGCTTAACACTCCCCCCCCTCGGCTAAAAAAACCCTCCTACAGGAAGTGACGCGGCAGCGATGCTGCTTCACTGCTCACATTGTCTCTCACATGGAAAAACGGCTGCGCGGCTGTGAAATGGGACGAAGGTGGCAAAGGAGCCTCCGGCCTCTTCGTGGGGGAAAGAATCCTTGGGGCAGGTGTGACTGGCGGCGTCGCAGCGGGCGTGGGGCCGTGAGCTCGCGGCGTGGGAGGTGTGCAACTGACAAGGCCGTGTTGGAGGTGAAAGCACTCGAGCGGGCTGGCCGGAGCCAGCGCAGACAGATAGCGAGTGTTTACTCGGAGTGTGTCCCTCTGCGTTAGTTTCCGAGCGGGGGCGGGCGCGCCAGCGGCTCGCCAGCGAGTGGGAGAGTTTGTTTGCGTTTAATCGCAGAATTTGTCGGCTCCTTTCTGCATGAGCTCAAGATAAAAAAAAAACCCTTAAAAACTGACAGGGAACGGTGACCTCATGTGGTTTGGATCTTTGTACCTCACCGATTCAGCTGAATGTGTCTGACTTTGTTTAATGTATAATATATTCACACAAACACACGGCTCTCTGTCAAAGAAGACAACATCTCTAATATTTAAACCCAGTAGGTCTGTTTAGAGATGCGTGTTGATTAAGAACCAGCCGGTGCAGGTTTTTTGTTTATTAGATACTCGGCGTGAGCAGCAACCGTTGCTGGAACACGCTCAGGCCAACCTGAGACGTCAAATAGAGACACGGCGCCCCGGGACGCGTTGAGAGGTAATAACGAAGAAGCGCTGTTTCCATGACGCCGAAGGGACGTATCGTAAACCAGCCACATTGTGCTTGAAACCGACGACGGGTATAAAGTCCAAAACGAATCCAAACTTCTGACCTCGAGGAGGACAGAACGCCACGGCAACGGAGACGTTCCCACAAACAACAGGGGAGCTACGCCTCACACACACACACACACACACACACACACACACACACACACACACACACACACACACACACACACCGGTTAATTGATGACTAAAAAATCGAGCAGGCAGGTGAAGAGATTGAAAAGTCATTACTCCGCAGTATTTAACTTTTTACGTCGCCTCAGGCTTCAGCTGGTGGTACCACCAGTGTTAATGAGAACAAATAACTAAATATAGGTTTGGGCTTGAGCGGATTTGTCTTCGCACTCCACTCATAAACAATACTACTCACTTACAATACAATGTAACACAAATAATTTATTTCATGTTAAATTAAAACCTTACTTGTACACCGTGAGCATGAAAAGCAGCATCGTTTTTGTGTGTGTGTTTATGACAGCATGGTAACAGCGTGCCGGAGGTTTTTAGGGTCCATATGACGCACTCGTGTTGCTGTTATCCAACAGACAGGTTTAGACTTTCTCCCAAAATTCACCGTCATCTGCAATGACTAATTCATCAGACACGTGCGGCACCGTTCGTCTGGATGGGCTCCACCGGGACGTCCACATACGTGCGTTTAAACACAAAGAGAGAAAAAAACAGAAGCGCGTGTGTGGGAGGGAGCGGCGTGTATTGACAACTTCGATTTGGCAAGCGGGGGGGGGGGGCTTGCTGCAACGCATCGCTCTTATCTGCCACAGAACCTGCCCCGTGGGGCGACCGGCCTCCTGTGACTCACATTTTTTCGAAGAAGAAAGCGGCTCGAGAGGTGGAAGTGGAAAGTGTGCGTAAGGGGCCTGTCAGGTTTGCCAGTGACGGACACGAAGAACACGAGTCACTGATGAACCATGGGCAAGGTCGCCGGCGAGGTCACCTTGGATCAGCGATCACCATCATCGCCAGCTGTTTAAATGGATCCGTAAATCTTCCGCGGTCGGCTCTGTGTTGAACTTTGTGCGCAACATACTTTAATAACTCACATATAACAGGGTGGCTTAATCCTCCTCCAAGTAGATTTGGGAATTGTACGATACCATTTGTCGCCAGACTAAACGCTTTTTCTGTTTTGTTTTGGGCAGATGACAGAACACTCGAGTGACTTGGACCCTCCGGACCCTCCGTAAATCATTGATTGTGATCCCTCCTTGGCGTTGGAGGGACGAGAGGAGGAAATATGGATATTACCAGTGGCTTCGGGGCTGGCGTGACAGTATTATAAGAGCCTGTTCCGTCTGTGTGTGAATGTCTAAAACGTTAATCAATCGCTTGCCTTTGACGCTTCGAACAGCCCGAACGACCCGAGAGGAGGATTCGTGTGGCGGCGGCGGCGGGGGCGTTTAAGCTAGCACCTCCTCTCCACGTGTGCATGGGAGGAAAGCGATTCATCGGTTGCAGTTGAGTCGGCTGGATTCCGGCAAGTGACGTCGGAGTCGTAAAATGTGGGACGGACTCTCCGAGAAGTTTCTCCGAGGGGGGGCTCCTCGAGCACGGGCACGTCGGCCCTCTGCTCGATGAACCCTCGACCAGCGGGCTGACGGACGAGAAGAAGAACCCGCGCAGGGATCTAAAGGTGTTTTGGTTCGGGTTTGTGAAATCCTCATGACCGCACAGGCGCACGACGGATGAACAACTGCTCACCGCTCAACTTGATTCAATGGAAACTCGACTTCAGGACAACACCAAGTCAGGAGGCCAATACGTATTAGAGCCTTATTCAAGAAGACTTAGTTATTGATCAATTAGGGGTCAGTTTAGTCTGCAAACAGTCGCCGGTTCACACATCCAGCAGATTGTTAAGATTATCTTTCATTCAGCTGAGCTACAGACCAAAGACATCTGGCTATTAAAAAACGATCCACTAGTGTCAACTAGAAGCTACTTCGACAAGGGAAGCCATGGAGGAGTCATGGAGATCCAGTAACGGGAAGCGGCTGACTCAAAATTTATTGCTAGATGATGTGATGCAAATCTTCTCCTTCACAGTAAGCTCTGCGTGGAGGCTCTTTCATCAGGAACCATCGGTCAGAAGACATCCGGCTCTATTGCGAAACACAAGAGTTTTTAGAAAAATGTTTTTTTTTTTGTCCTTCTCATAAAATTCCACACCAATTTTAGGAAGTATGCTCACGCGATTCTGACCCGGACGCTTTGCATGTTTCCCGTTGCATCACAGGTCAATAACTCCATGGTGGTACGAGCCCGCAGGAAGTCCTGCCATGCTGCATCTACGGCCGGCTTTTAATTGGATCTTTGCACGACTTCTGAAGTTGGGCAAACTATTTAGTCCCAGATTACTTTGTGGATTTTTCAAAACGCAACAATGTCGGAAAACATGCAGAGAATGTCGTTGCACAAGTCAGGCGGTTTTTCTAAACTTCATTCAAACCCTCAGAAATGCATCTGAAACTTTAGTGCAGCTTCCGAAAACACAATCATAGCATAGTGTGTGTTAAAGTGTATTTGATGTGTGCAGCCTAAAAAAACTTAATGTTTCACAACTTATTAAGATGAAAAACGCCGATATACAAATCATTGAGGTTTGCTTTAAACATCATATAGTCGGGGACCATAAAACGCGGCGTAAGCGAGCTTATTATCACCTTGTAATGAGAGTGTGTGAGCAACACATCTCTTGCGTATTACTACTTATTTCTGTTTTAGCGCAAAATTGACATATAGTAAAGAAACAATGTACGTTGTAGCGAGAAGTTCATCCTCCAGGCTCCATTCGTCCACAGGTCCAGACTAAATAAACACTCACAAATCTTTAGGCCACATACATTTATTTGGAGAGCTTTACTTCTCACATTCCTGGGCACTTACTCAGGTGCTTGGAAGTAACAGGGTGTGAAGAACAAACAGAGAGCATTCTTGAAAGACATCGTTGCGTATGTGTAGGATGAAGAGTCCCTCACTGACGCCTGACCTACTCTGAAGATAAAAAAAACAAAATAACTACTTGCGCAGTGCCGTCAAATATTCATTTTCGACCTGAATCAACACAACTCAAAGGGCACCATTCCTTCCCCTGAGATTAGTGGGATCCTCTTCAAGTCCCGCTGCAGATCCTTTTCATCATTGTTTTTGGAGGGTAGGAATATTTTTGTTAAGCGGCTAAATCTGCCCTATTTTTG